CTATTGACTCAAGAGTTTTGGAAAGGTACGGTAGTATAGAAATAGGTCTGAAATGAGAAGGAAGAGATGGATTTGTTACTTTAGGTAGCGGTACGACAAATGCTTTCAGACATGATTTTGGAAAGCAAAAGAATTCGAATAATTAGAAAGCAATTGAATTTGATTAGAAAGCAAATTGAGAGCAGAAGAATTCTTATCAAAAAGAAAACGTAATTGATTTACAATTTTGAGTACAAAATCTTTGTCGTGATTTAGGAATAAATCTGGCATTACGTTTATGTAAAGAACAAAGATATTATCAAAAGTGTATTCATATACGTACATTTCACTTTTAAATGGTATGTTAATTATACAACTGACAGACATTAGATGAAAAGAAATTTATTCAGGAAAAAAATTCTCTTAAAGAAATATTTACAGAAAAACAACAGACACCTTGACATCGGAACATTCCCCAGTCGATGCTATACGTAAATTGAAATATTTTTCAAATCTATGCGTCTGCTTAATAAATATTTGAAGTTAGATAATCTTCAACGTATTAAAAACCTTTACATGTAAATGTACATGTTACCTACAAAGCGGGGACACAATGGAATCAATAGATTTAACTTTTTATTTAGAACTGTTTATTTAGATAGAACTGTTTATTTAGAATAATGAAGGCACTTATTTAATTCATGTCAAGAACGACACGTCGAGGAAAATTCTTGAGATAACTGAGGGCAAAACGATACACCTCACCTCGAGTAACTATTAGAAGTAGAACACGTGACAGAATGTATGATTCAGGTGCATAATTAATTATTCATGGCATCGCACACATGCTTAGATAGCACGCGAATTGCGAATGATAACAAGGCCTCTAATAACAATAACAAACTGTTATGCGTTATCGCCTGTACATGTTCACAAGTCTACGCGCAGAGCCGAAGACAAGTAAACAAATATATATACGGACATAGACATGTACCTTGCGGCATTCGGAATACCTAAGAGATGTTTATAAGAAAAAAATTAGTTGCGACTGCCGAGGAAATGTGACGCGCGGTAATATTGATAAATATAAAGAAATACGAGACAAAATCCACAACTATGTTGACCGCTGTATCGTAACCAACGCTTTGTATATAGGCATGTATTTACTTTTAGAGGTTCTTTATCAAAATTTAATTCACCCTATTACAAAATATGTAAGTAACACCAATGATAGCTATACACCCGGATGTGAATATTCAACGGCGAAAATGATAATAGTAGAAATAGAGGAAACCGATCTAAGAGAAGATCTAAGAACAATGCTGGGCATCATCGCATCTAAATTTAAAAAGCGTGTAGCGTTGCGGTGAAGTTAACACTCATTGTTTCCGCCGATGAATTGGTCTTACCATTTGCCGAGCCCGATATTCCCATAGCGAGTTTCTAGGAACGACCACAATAGTCAAGTTCTCCGGACGGCACCTTTGCCCGCTAGTTGGGTGCGCTTGCAGAACGCGGCGAATTATTTACAATCCCCAAATCGAGGAAAAGCCGTGACGTACATACTGCAACATCGCCTTTCGAAAATATGATTGCACTCGGCGTGTTTATTGATATTGCTCCAAGTTTAGAAACGCCCGCCGCGATATTTGCGTGATAATTCTGTTGTACAAACTGGGAACTGGGTCTATACAATGCTCGCAACTTATGATATCCTGCCGACCCGTTTAGGCCACGATGACGCATTTAGTTTGCTACTTTACATGTATACTTTATGTACAACGTCAAACTCATCCCATTCATCCACCGATGTCTGCACAATATTATTATTTATTTCGGTCATCGGGAATAGTCTGTCTCAAATACAGGTTCTTAGACAATATTGATTATAAAATCAATTGACGAAAAACTGCACATCAAAATGATACAAGTCAGTTTTTCACAGCTTGCCGAAGACGATAAAATAGATAATTAATTGTTCTAACACAAACATGTAAACAAACGTTAAATTGTAAACGCGCGGTAAACATTTATATGAATTAAGTAAATGTTGAAACGACGCAGTAATAATGACAGAGCAGACCGTTCCAGTCTAAGAAGCCGTCATGGGAGTTTGCTGTTCTGATTATAGATTGACTGCAAGAAAAATATATGACCTGCGCGGCTTCGGTTAATGAATCCCTGGTTATTATATTATGAGCAGTCGTGGGAATTCTCGCAAATTAGGCGTCCGTGATATAAATTATAATTGTAAGTGTTCATTATACTGATAACATCGATTGTACGAATTAAACCATTCTAAAAATTGCCACTTTCTCTTATTATTATTCACGTAAGTTATTTTTTCTGTTAAGTAAGGCATTTATTGTGTATATAATTACACAGGACAAATCAAATCAAATCTAATCAAAATAGAGTCATGAAATAAATCTCTACGCTCAATAACACTTTTAACTAATAGTGAAAAGACTGAGATCAATTTGAATTGAATCTATAATTTACAATATCCCACAAGAAGAAAGTGATAAATCGCACCGTGGACGAACAAAAACTCGTATAATCGCCGCGACGACAGTAATTGTAGCGGACATTTTAATAAACGACGGAAAAAACAACACGACAGACATCCGCGACAGTGCAACAAAAACATTCGCCGGTCATGATGAACGTTACACAGTGACAACTTCGTTGGGACAGAACAGACGAAAGTATTGAAGGACGGTGTCACAGTAAAGGCAACACGGCGGTATTCACGGGATATGAACGGAAGATTTGAAGACTCGTGACCGGAAGTGACGACGCAGCGGGAGTTTCTTACACGAATTTGTCACAAGCCGAGCACCGAAGCGGCGGTTCAGACCGATATCACGATTCCAACGACACGTCCCAAGTTAGAGGCGGGCGGCCGGGGGCGAGCTACACGGTATCCCTTTTACGCGGGCCAATTAACGGGCGGCGGCGGACCGGATGTCTGCGTGTGCGCATTAGCGCCTCCGGACCTCCTTAATCCCATGGGCCCCGGACAAAGGAACGGCATGGGAAAACTTACGGGTCGGCAAATTTCGGGACGCCGCCAAATCAAACAACAAGGCAATGTCCGCCGGCGTTCCCCACGCAGGTAGTGTGAAGAATGGTAACCCGTATACAAAGGGCACGTAGCGAACATGCGTCTTTAATGGCGGTATGAGTAGGCGCGCGAAGGAACACGCACTTTAGGTAGCGAGACTATTCACAGCTAAGACCACGCTTCCGAAGTCCGACAATGTCACGGACGGAAATAGGTCAGGAGCATGTGTTAATTCTATTCTTGAATCAACACAATGTAAGCGGTAAGTGATCGCATTACCATAAGTATATTCTTAAATGTTTATTTTGCTGTGACGCTTCATTGCTCTGCAGTTATAATGCCGTCCTTATGGACAAAACATAGATGATAACATAAGTGTGTTAATTATCCAGCAAAAGTGTCATCTCGATCTCTCAACGATCAATAATTAACTAATTTCATACGAAACTCTACACAAGCTAAGATGTCGATACCAAGTTTCCATTTCGTATTCTCAAATAGCATCATTTTAACCAAATTTCACATAGAATATTTAAATTCATAAGAAAAATGGTCACATTCAAAAAATTTGTTTATTACGCTCATTCGACGAGTGAAAACATTCAAAAACTATTATTAGAGCACTTAAAGGCGACCGGAAGCAGCCCGAGCCACCGAACACGGAACCGAGGTATTGGGGGGCGTATGCTACTTCCGTTTTCGCTTGAGCGGATTCCACCCTTCGCGAAGGGCTCCTTCCGGAAGGGACGAATGTTAATAAGAGCTTTAAAAGTGTGCCGCATCTTTGTTCATAGTGCACAGCATTTCCGCTTTGTGACATACGTAACGAATTTAAAAATATGTTAGAGCGAATACATTTTTAGTTAAAGTTCTATATTTTGTTTTCCCCCACAAAACAAGAGGTTGGTATAAATATTGACATACATAATTACTGAATAAGGTTAATGTTAATTAACCTTAGTAAAGGTCAGTATTAGTTTTGCGTATCGCATTCATTAACTTTTTGCGTACACTTTTTCTTACGCAAAAAATCAATCAATGATAGTTATGATATTAAGGCCGTTGAAGCGACTGTTGAAAAGTTCTTAGAAAACGTTCGTTAGTTCGATTCCTGCTTACTCGGATGATGTTTTTCCCTCCGGCCATCTCGCGTTTAACCCCGACATGGCGTCCGGACATGAAGCCCACGACATGCATCCGAACGCGCTAAGAGGGCGCGAATGACGCGTCTCCACTCGGTCCATTACTTTCGGATCGAAAACACCCCGAACATTATTTATCGCTTCCTCTCCGCGTTTCTCACTCGGCAACAATGCCCGTCTCCGAGTGTCGGGTTAATGTCTTTACGACGTGTCGGGACGTAATGCGCCCAACGAGTGCGTTAATGGGAGTGCCTCGTCGTGTTCACGGACGTCTTTCTACTTAGGGATCGATCGCCGTGGATTCAACAGCGTCAACCGCTTAGTTATAGTAATTGTATGAATAATATATCGTGCACGTCGCGTGACAACGTCGATGCGACTCATAGAGGTGACATTTCGAAAATGCGGCCCCATTCATCGGCAGGCATGTCTCGTATTGAATGAACTTTATTCGCATATCTTGTCATTTTCATTACAACCAGCGGGACGTCAATTTGGAGGAAATTGGTAGAGCAAAAAGCGACTCGATCGACATTATACCCCTTTTAAACGGCACGGGGACAACACTAATTAATTAGAATGTCTCTGGATAACACTTGAATTCTTTCCCCAACCACAAAAGAACTGAATTTAAACCGCGAACTCAGCGGGTTTCAAAAAATCACCACGCCGAAGAAGTCCCTTAACGAAGCCGACGCCTAATTAATAAGCAGTAAGTTTCGAACCGAAACAGCGGGGTGCCCCTCGCCGTGTTGAGCGTAGAAGGGAATCTAGTTCTTATTGTCGCAGCGGTTAGGGTTGAAGTGGCGTTATTGGACTGGTAATTGCGGACGGCGGTACCGCGGCGTACGGTGCCGCACCTCGAGTGCTGGGAACGCGTGTTTCTTAGCTATCGCCGCATAGCGGTTAACTAATGGCAGCTGAAGCGCCGATGGAGCCGCGTGCGAACTGATACCGACGCTTCGGCGAGGCGTTCAGAGAAACAACGGCGCGTTATTTTGCAAGAAAGCGCAATTTTTCGCCGGAGCGAGGGGGCCCCGCGAACAATGGCGCGCGGTCGTTTTTTCGAGATGCGGTACGTCGCTCGACTCTCGTTCCATACAATTGTGTGAAATTCGTTTAGCTGGAATGGAACAATGGATAGACTATGTCGTGCTCCCGGCTCCGCTCGCTCTCAGTCCGCTCACGGTCCTGATTACCATGATTACTTTTAGACGGATTCTTGCAGTTTTAATGACTGCATTAGATCGTTTCAGGTTGATGCTCGAATTTCGTCAACATAAACAGTTTTTCGTTGACTAACCACTTTATATCGTACTAATTTGCGAAACGTAAACCAGTTTTTTTTAACGGAACGTTTATACAAAGCTCCTCGATAATATAGGACGAAAACGAGGGTTTAACAACAATAAAATAGACTAATACGCATCATCGTCATTGACGAAACATAACCTCTTAGAGTTTAGCGGCCTGTTATACGTGGTCACTAAAATTCATATGGTTGGTCCATGTTGGTAAACAAGAACGAATAGAAAACTTGGCCCAGATTTGAAAACGTTGTTCAGAAATGTAAGTAAAACTGTACGCCCTCATCTTATCCAACAAAGGTTACCCTTGCAAAGCTTTCCCGCTTAAATTCGTGGTAACAGAGACGTACTCATTCATGTGTAAGACGCGTCTTATTACCAAGTCTGACCCTGTACTGCGCGAGTTTAAACTTCGTATTTTAGTACGTAGAAATCAGCACACGGGAACGGCTAATAGTCTCTGTAGCCGATTCGGTTTTCTGACACGTCTCTAAAGTGAATGATTTTTTTTTCTGTGGTTTAGCTACGCTGCTTCTGCTATTGCACAAATGGGCAGGCCCGTCGGGGAAACTACTTAAAACAAGAACGGCGTATTAAAATTTTAGTGTGAGTGAAGTAACCGAGCCCCAATATTTTAAAAGTTGGCAACTCGTCTGCAAGTCCTCGTGTGTTGGAGACATCTATCGGCCGCCCCGTAATCATTTGATGGTAAAAAAAATTGTCTCGCTGAGTTTCTTTGACCAGTTCTTCTCAGGTCAGTGGCATTTTTTTCCGAACCGGCAGCAGTATTTTGACAATCAATAAGTGTAATGCTTCTATATCGATAAAGCTATTTGAATTATACTTAACATGAGGTGAACCGCCTTCTCGCTTGCCAACTTTAAAATAAAAATAATGCCAAAAGAAACAAAACTAATATAAAAATTAATGGAAGCTAGGTATATCGACTCATCGTATCAGAGTGTCAGAGTTTAGCAAATTTAATAGGAAGTCTGCATCCTTAATAAGGTGAAGAATCCGGTCGGTTGTAATCACACAGATAAGCTACGGCTCCCGACCGAAATGAAACCAGACCCGAGTACAACCGGAGGTAGGTTTATTTGCGTACGAGGGAAACACTGGATACTTCACTCGTTACACGATATCGGCTCTTCAGGCGATAGGAGTATGGACGATATTTCTATAGCCAGATATTAGTTGATTAGGTAAACATTTTTGCCTAATTGAGTCATGTCGTTAGCGAATCGATCGTTTCGAATGTGTAATTGACCTTTTGAGTAATGGACATAACGAATGGCAATGGAACCATTACCGGCATTCGATTATAAAAGGCATAATTCTTGTAAATGTTACTAGTTGACCCGTGCGAAATTTTTGTACAGTACCGCGATCAGTCACCGAATATATCATATATATATATATATATATATATATATATATATATATATATATATATATATATATATATATATATAATAAAGTAACATAATATCATCTGTGTATAATAAAAAAATTAATTGCTTTTCGTTAGTCTCGCTAAAACTCGAGAACGGCTGAACTGGTTTGGCTAATATTTGTTTTGAAATATTTGTGACAGTCCAGGTAAGGTTTAAACGATGAGAAATTACGGAAAAATTGCATGGAAAATCGATATATCAACAATTTTATTTTCCCATACAAACTGTTCCTCCCTGTCAAACATTTTATGCGTGCGTTCCGAAAATTCTTTTTCTGTGTTCTGATTCACAAATTCCCTAGAAGCAATTTATATGGCAAAACAACGTTTGCCGGGTCAGCTAGTGTGCAAATAATTATTTATCAATGTTAGGTGTCTCATTTTGAAGAATAACAGTAAAATTCAGTAATTGTTTTATAATTTTTTAATTTTAAAATGAGCGATAAAAATACCATAAAACAAATAGAAATTTGTTTTGGATCAAGTATGAGAAAATCAAATGATAACAAAATTTTTACATCACCAACGTCAATGACATTAACGGTGACGCGAACCTATGAATTATTCCCCCATCCGAAATTGCTAACGTGCCTACGGAAATATAAATATGTAGTAATTTCAGACAATTGCTACTGCAATTATACTGTGTATCGTTGAACTGACATCGTGCAGACTAGAAATGGGGACGTGTCAGTCAAATCGAATCGTTAGACTCCGAAGCTAGAGGTCAAGCGATGCCGGAAGCTTAACTACACGATGCTATGTTCACTTCTATGCTATAATTATGTCTCCACTAATACATATAAAAAATCCGTCCGTTAAATTAATCATGGCAGATCTTATTCAAAATCTATTAAAATAAAATCTTCACTTAACAACTCATCCATAACATATTTCTTTTTAAGTGGCGTTCAGCACAGAGCTACACCACCGCACCACAATTTATTAATTATTTTTTGCATTGGCTACAAGGTCATCGGCCAAAAGCAAACATTTTTTATTCAAATGAAGAAACAATATAATGTTGAAAAAAATATTTATAATATAAAGCTGCTGGTGAGATGTGTCATGCGCGGACCAGATAAATATTAAAAAATAATGCTTAGAACATTGATTGCAAAAGAGAACATCGATTACTTCTAGGGTCAGATGATGAAAAAGTGTTGATGCTAGTATCGCAAAATATCAAAGTTGCCAAAAGGCGAAAAAAAGAAAGACATGCAAAGCACATTAAGCCATTCGGATACCCAATGTCACGCTTTAAATAAGCCAACTCTATACAACATTTGAAACATTATCTTACCGGAAATGAATGTCGATTGCATGTTTACAAACGCCATTCACAAATCACATTGTCTTGTATTTACACACGCGCCATTCATAATTATCGGTTGAAAGTACTCGAATTATTATTTAAAACAAATGGGTACGTATTTGTTTGCATTATGCTAGCGCACGACTGCTCAATAGCTTACTTGCCATTTTTTTATGTGAAGGTGACAATCGAGCGGTTCACCTGATGTTAAATGGTAACTGCCACCTTTTGACATTTGCAACACCCATAGGGTTGCAGATGCGTTGCCCCTTTTTAATATAGTGAGTTACCTCATCACCAGACGAAAGGCAGAAGTGTAACACTTCCGCTTAACGCCGGTTTTTCTGTAGATGCAGTTGTGTTTTCTTCCTTAACCTGCCTTTATTAAACCCAGATGGGGTCGGCACAACTACGGCACTAGTTCTTCTGCGACCGGCCGCCAAAGTCAGCCCCCCTTGGGAATAAACATCCAAAATCGGAACATTTATCTGAGGGTCAGACAAATAATTGTCCCGCGTCGGAATTGAACCCTTGACTTCCAGCGACGAAGCCGAAACCTCAGCAATTTCGCCACAGAGTCATCCTTTTCATGAAATTAAAGAAAATCATATTTACTTTAAATTTATTCTAATATTTATATATACAGCGTGTCGTTACCACCGCGACAATAAATGAACACACATATAGAGGATAACTTTTTAAAATTGTATTAAACATTTACATTATTTAAACATCAATATTTACCGAGTTATTAAATTTTCCAAAACAAACAATTTTAGAACTTTACGTTACACTTTTATACGTAGGGGACGTATAAAAGTGTAACGTAAAGTTCATTTGTAAAGGTCACAAAGCATATGAAAGGGTTGAATGAATTTAAAACAGACAAAACATACTGTTAGAAGGAGAGGCTTGTAATGCGCCGCTGTGGCGCGAGTTGTATAGGATGTTACAAATTTTGTTTCTTTTTTACTTAATTAGTTTGTTTGAAAAATATTTTTTTTAATTATGGGTTTTGTTTAAAGTTAATATTTTTTTATGATTATTGGCAAGTAGCGTTAGACGTGTGTTCATTTATTGTCGCGATGGTAACGACACGCTGTATATTTATCTATTTCACCTTTAGTAACTTATGTAAATCCTAACCTTTTCTACTTTCCTATTGGCTGGGAGGCACTATATCTCATATTATTTTAAAAAACTTACCCCACATATGTCTTATATTATATATAGTCTTATTTAAAAATTATTTCTTAGCGCAAGTGTTGTTTATTATTTTTTAGTAAAGTCTCCCAAGGAATCGCAGGCAAGTACCTACAAATAATTCGAGATACTTCTTCTCGGTCGATATCAGGCGATGTCTATTTAGAAATGCATATATTATGGTGGCTGAGATTATTACTACGATTAACGTATTTTTAGAGATAAATATTTTCTTTGGAAGAGGGTTTGATGATCATTCAGAGCCCAATAGAAAGACAACGTTGAGACATATACAATACTTATTTCTTAACGTTGTCTATCTATCGTCCGCAAAAATCCCCAAAATATATAAAAGTAGGATCCGCAAAAATGCATTTATTATAGTACACTTGTTCAACAAACTGTATACTTGTTCAAAACCAAAATACTGTAGTAGTTAAATCTACCACAACTGAACATAACATCTACAGTAATGTACCATCCAAATCAGTGCTGGGTTCATAAAGGACACACGCGATAACTGCGCTAGTGATTTTAATGGCGCCATTTTTATCACTGCTATATCGTTACGATTTCGGACGGTTCAAGTAGGCTGTCACTTCCGCCCAATGACATACTGTCAACTATTTGGAACTGGCCAACGCACGCCCACGGTAAAGCCATATGCGGCTGAACAATGGTCGCTATGCCTGAATCGATTTTTCGACGAAGGATCGCGAATGCCTCGAAGCGATTTTGAGCGTTTCTCTTTCCGTCCACCTTTTTTAGCGGTTGAGCTCAAGGGGAAAGGTATCAAATATTTCGGAAACATTTCGAACACATTTTTTTTTTACACAACGTTCTCTAGTCCCAAACTAAGCAACGCTTGTACTATGGGTACTAGAAAACTGATAAACATACTTCTTTTTGTCAATAAATACATATCATACAGATATAAACACCCAGATACTGGAAAAACACGATGTTCATCACACAATATTATTCCGGTAGTGGGGATCGAACCCACACCTTCTGGCGCAGGAGGCTGGGTCACTACTCCCCACGCCAATCGGGTCATCAATTCAAGACGATTGTAGGAAGTAAAAGCGCAGATGACGAAATGGCCGGAAATGAGGGGTCCCTTATATTCACGGGCATCCAATTTTATGCCTAACGCAAGCTCCGATTCCTTCTCCTGACCTTATTCCCGTCTAAGTGAGGCCGAAACATTAAGAGAAATATGTTGTTAATGATACTTGTTTTTTTTTTTTTTTTTAAGAACAACGGCATACCAGATGTCAATCCTCCATGAGAACAAACACTCAGATACGTACCAATTAAATGCGGGTAACACAAATACTTGTAACGAATGTCGAACCCATGACCCCCGGCACTAATTACTTGGCAACAGCGTCACCGAGTAATCTGCGTCCTGCAGAAGAGAGCGAATCTCGATGTTCCGATAAGTATTTATAATCCGAAATGCAATTGACTGAGATTGAAATTAAAATTATTCGTTTACTAGCTGCCAGACAGACTTCGTTCTTTTACTTTTTTTATAGTTTTAAAACCTTCCGTGGACCTTAAGGAATATACAAAAAATAAATTAGCCGAATTGGTCCAGCCATTCTTGAGTTATGCGCTTACCAACATTCATTTTTATTTATTAAGAATATTAAACAGATAACTTAGATAATTATTTATGTAAAATGACTTTTAAAGTATGGACTCAAGAACGGCGCAGTGGATTGCATTGTCCTTGGGAGAGCTCCTGCCCTACCCCGATGTCTTCCATCTAGATAGAATTAAATGTTGATTAATATTATGTATTAAATCTTAGACCCTTTCTCGGTTCTTTCGAATTCATATCATATTAGTAATGACTCGATGGCGCCATTGATAAGCTATTGGCTTCGGCTTCGAGGGTCGTGGGTTCGATTCCCACACGGGACAAGTATTTGTGTGACCCACAAATAACTGTCTCGTGTCTGGGTGTTTGTTTCCCAAAGAGGCTAACGGCAGGCAGGCGCCAATTGTAAAAATAACCGAAACCAAAACCGCTTACAAATTGATTCATATTTTGTGCCAACCCCATATAGGCGGGATAAGGGCAAGAGGATAATGATGATCTTATAATAGTAGTAAGTTAATGTAATGTGCTTAACGACTCTTCAATAATGCGATCGGTAGAGACATATGGCCTGATTGGACAAAATGTATGTAACAGACACAGAGCTTCGGAACATATATGTCAAACAATGTATTGTAGATATCGATTGAAATTAAAGCAACGTAAAAACTTTCATATGATTCTAAATTCACATAAGGAAGTAAATTTAACCGGCGAGAATAATCTGACATTGAAATTAATTGAATCTTTTCAGCAAATATTTGTATAAGGTATTATCGCTATTAAAATGAGCCGATATCGACCTGCTACTATCATTAATTTGAGTAAGAAATATGCGAGAAATAATTGGGAGAAGTAAGAATGATTAACAGAAAAATACATTATAGAAAGAAACCAATAAGAATGGAACTAATTTATAAAGTTTAATAAAGTATAATGAAAGATTATTCGGTTAGGGAAGCGTCCATTGGATATCCGCCTGTGGCGTGCCATAATGGATGGCGGTTTTATTAACCCTTTAACCGGACGTGCGCCGAGTTTACGATTCAACATAAGGTAGCCGGCTAATTTATTGAGAAATCTCAGATGACGTAAAATCTCGCTTCGCACTCCTATAAGAGACCAGTTCGAGCAAAATTTAAATGTAAAGCAAAGAACCTTTAAACTTTGAACAAAAATGATCTAATGCATTTCAGTGTTGGGAAAAAATCGATGAAAAGGTAGAAGTAAGACAACTTCGGGTAGAAGTTGCTTCAACAACGCAAAATCGATACGGAAAATCTATAACGCCAATGGACATCATTTCGCGTCGAATAGTTCGATAGAGATTAGAGGCGAATGAATGAAATCCAGTTTTGCCTGCACTCCTGCACGCATCAGTACGTTACTGTATCGAAACATTCAATGGGAATACGTTTTTAACGTCTAAGGCCTAAGGGATGGAGGTTGTATGTATAAATATTGACTAATCTGCGAGCTTGTGAAAGTGTTGAGGTCGACACCTACAGCTATTATCCGTATAAAACGTGCTCCAAATAGAGCGAAGACACGTTAAATACAGTGGGCAGCCTGTAGGTGGGTTCTTACGATCGACCCACAAACGCTTCCACACCAACGAGCCTAGACTACGCGTGATTTACCAACGAACGATAAACGAAAAGAAAAAAAAAATCGCCCGCAATTAATTACTCACCGTGGACTCAGACTACGGCAAGACGGATATCCCGGCGGCACGCGTGAGTTTCTGCGGCGATTTTCTGCAACGTCACGAACTAGCGGCAGCACAGATACGGAACCGCTGCCGGTGCGTACGGCACGCGAACACGAGCGCGTAACTCCACTGGGCGGCGCGTTTTCGAATTTCGAACGGTGCGCGGCGGCGGGCGAGCGGAATGGGGCATGCGTCCGCGTGCCGGTGCGTTGGTCGGCGGCGCGACTGAGCGTGCTGCGGGCGGCGGCACGCGCGCCTCCATTCACAAAACGAGTGGCGGGGCGCGGCGCCCCCCGGCCCATTCATGCGGCCCGGCGGCCGGGGCGGCGCGGACGGCCAAATTGCTGCGACGCCCGCCCGGTTCGCACTCGGACGCCGCTCCGGTTAATTCCGTGGCCGGTTTTGTTTTTAATTTTAATCATTCCAATTTCGAAAAGGAACACCAGCTTTGGGCAGTAGCGCTTTTTAATTGATTCAAATTTAGAACGGTATTGGTGGATGCTTTTAGGCACACTGCGTTGGCTTGATGGTTATTACGTTGATTCGCGATTCGAATTAATTGCGTACAAAGATGTTTGTTTAAAACTTGTGCACTAAATATGGCGTCACTATCACCACCCTAAATATGGCTTAGTAAAATCGAGGCTCAAGAAAGGCTTATCATCTTCTTATATTCCTTTTACTGTCTGATCCCCATGTTAACGTAACAAAATAAAAGTGTCCCCGTGATCGATGACATTTACCACTGAATGTCATTTCATTTTAATTACTTGGACTGAATTCCGTTTCTTGTTTGTGATAAAGTATACGACTCAAAGAAATATATTCTCATGATAAAATAGTAAGCAAACAGAAATAGTAAGAAACAAAATATGCATTATGTTAATGAAAAGACGAAAAATCGTACAATGGGCAAAACATATTTCACGGGCGTGCCATAATATTGAACAGATCGTGTCTTTATGAGAAAAAGTTACTTATGTAAATGTATTTATTTCAACTGAGTTAACGTAAACGTTAGATTGAAATATACGATAAAATTCTTAGGATTCGTTCGACAAATTCAACAAAAATCGCATCAGATAAATCACTCTGCACAACCGAGAGGAAACTAGCACTGCAGTCTAGAATAGCGGGTACCTCCCATGGCCACACTCATTTATTAAAATTATTTATTAAAGTACCTGAACAGTACTCAGGGACAGGTATTGTTAAATAACAATAACAATACCTGTCCCTGAGTACTCTTTGAGGCTAGACGACACTTGAAGTTACTTCTATCCTTCTATAATTCTTATAATTATCGTTGCTGTCGATGATAATAATCATCGACAGCAACAGACATGCAACAATAATTCGACACTGCCATGGCAACTTCTCTGATGTTGCAAATGCTTTGAGCAGGTGTAATGTTTATCTACTCTTTCCAATGAGACTATAGCTACCGATCGAGCCGAAGTCCGGCACTCACGGGCAGCCTCGAATCGGAATGCTAAACGGGCATTGAGTGACAGCCCGAGCCGAGGTCCCCTCTCGGGGGCCTTTGAGCCTAGTCACTCCGTGGGGCGTCCGCCAAAGCGCCCTAAGAGCTTGGTGGCCTCCCAAACCGGCGACCGAAAATCACAATCAAATTCAAAATATATTTATGCACATAGACGCTTGCGCGTTCTTATGAAATGTCAAAATTTTACATAAAAATTAATACGTTCGTAAGTTACCACCGATGATAATAATAATAGCGTGACCTTAGTCACCATAACGCGTAACCGAGGTTCAGCCTAGGCGGCCCGAGCGCCCGGCGACCTTATAGTTCGGTGGATCTGTAAAGGCCCCTAAAGCCAACAGTGGTAGATTCTGCAAAAAAAAACATCCCTACTCTCTATCGAACATACCAAAACAATCTTATACGATGATAAAAAATAACCGTTTTCCTTTTTGTCTATCTTATTGTATACACCATGAAACCTTGCTCCGTGCCAAATTTCACGGTTCTAGGTCAGCGTGTTCTATATATGGGTTTTACGTATACTTACATTAAATTTACGAATGATTAAAACACCTGACACGTTTTCACGTCGCGAAGAGACTCGTTGCGTTGACGTCGTAGTCGCGTTGACTTAAGTATTTGAAATGAACTAACAATTTTGATACAATTACAGTAAATGGGGTTTATAGGTATAATACATATTTATATTATCACAATTACGAGAGGATGTGTGTAATTTATTTAAACAAAACCCTTACTATGTAACTGCAAGCTGCTGTGTTCAAAAGGATTTTCATAAACACCCAGTAGTGGGTCGTATATTACCTATATACTTCACCTTCTCACTTTTAAGTTATACCTAGACAACCAAAACCAAAAATTCAAAAACATAGCAGGTGGGAATCGAACTTTGACCTTGTCAACCGTCAAAGGTCACAAGACTCGTTTGCAAACGACCAACCGGTGAAAGTCGGGTGAGATACAAACGCATTGCATGCATCAGTCGCAATTTTTAAAGTTTTTTTATAGTGCTAATTTCTGCACTTAAGATTGAACATTAAAACATGTAGAAAAAGTACGAAAAGATTGTCACCGCTGTGGGAATCGAACCCACGTCTTCGGCATTCGCGGCCTGACGCTCTAGCCACTGAGCTAAACGGCTGATAGCCACAGCGACGAAAATCTTAACGCCTTCTTTCTACATTGTTATTTAGCATTTGAAGCAATGCTTGGCGCATCTATTGTTATATCCTTTCCATGCATATAAACAATTTCGAATATCGTTTTACAACGATAATTCGAACGAGAGATTCAATCTTAAGTGCAGAGATTAGCACTATAAAAAACTTTAAAATTTATAAAAAGCAATGGCGACATCTCTCGTTTATCTATTATATTATTTAGAGATTAACTGTAGTAATGTTCAGTGTTCTACTGTGACAAGGCCGTGCCCCTTCTACTGTACTGGGCAGCTCAATAGGAGGAAATTCCATGAGCTCGGGAGATATATACATATAGGTATGTGGGAACAGAATGCGAGGACTTAATGAAATAATTAAGAAATGAAATGAGTGAGTCCAATGTAGGTAAAATGAATGATTGATAATGAATGCATGAGAGGAGGAACACAAAGTAAGATGGCGGCGAAGACGAGGACGTTCTCTAATTACATATATCTCTAATAATCCTTTATTTGTTACGGTGACTAAAGTTTATATTTTTTGGATGCAAGTCGGTTCATTCCTACGAGCACGATTGCCCACATAATTATACAATTATAAAATCATAGCATTCCCACAGGCGATGATACGTCTTAAAGTTTGGCAAAACTCCTGCAATCCCACTGTTGTTGTCCCATGGGCTGTGGTAATACACCTGTCTCCAGGGTACCCTCCTGCACGTTTATAAACGAACAATTATCCGCCTAGCTATTATTTTACAACCCTTTTCGTAAGACTCGGTCAGTAGGATCTTTTCGAAGCAATTCGTCAATGCGACGGATATTGCAGAAGCCTATCGACTACGGTAAACTTTACTTCAAAAAGATCTATCATTAGTCTACGATGAAGTTTGGATGTTTTTTGCGCTAACAGTGTCTTAACAATATTATAAGGACGTTTTACACACACGAATATCACTTGGACAAGCACCCGGATCAAGAATAATTAGGTCCCACAAATTCTTTTCCCGTGTAGGAATTGAGCCACGACGCCGGCACTGAGGATAATCGATTAGACAAAGCATCAGCACATCATGAGTTCTAACAGTAGTTCAACAATCATTAATTATCTACACTCCTCATAATTTATGTTTTCCTTGTTACTTATCAAATGTGCGTTACACAGAATCAGGGTAAGGAGAGACAAGAGATTTCGATATACAGCGTGTCGTTACCATCGCGACAATAAATGAACACACGTCTAACGCTACTTGCCAATAATCATAAAAAAATATTAACGTTAAACAAAATCCATAATTAAAAAAAAATATTTTTCAAACAAACTAATTAAGTAAAAAAGAAACAAAATTTGTAACACCCTATACAACTCGCGCCACAGCGTCGCATTACAAGCCTCTCCTTCTAACAATATGTTTTGTCTCTTTTAAATTCATTCAACCCATTCATATGCTTTGTGACCTTTACAAATGAACTTTACGTTACGCTTTTATAGGTAAGGGTGTTTTAAAATTCTTTATTTTGGAAAATTTAATAACTCTGTAAATATTGATGTTTAAAGAATTTAAATGTTTAATACAACTTTAAAAAGTTATCCCCTATATGTGTGTTCATTTATTGTCGCGATGGTAACGACACGCTGTATACGGTAGCGCTTACGACACTGTAATGAGCTGTTCATATAATTTTGTAAGGACCAGCAGTTGTGGCCGCCGTCGCGAAGGATTTTTTTACACGTCTTTCGCAAAAAAAATGTCATAAACGGCATATTCACTAAAGCCATAATTTTATTTGCGTATAATGAAATCAATTGCATACAAAAAGACAAAACTAACTGTTATAAAGAAATATTGACAAATTAAAACTGTTTCAATATCTGCATTTGTCTGTGATTAACCGTAGAGGGTAACATTGAAATCGGCCCTTAAACACGGTCATAAACTATCCTCCTATAAATTTATGGCTATAAATTAATGAATTAAGAAAAACAATCGCTTTACCATTGTTTATGCCTAACAGTTATTAGATCGTCGAGGTGGTCCGTTCGTGTGGCATTATTGAGCCGATAGGCGATTTTATTGTCAAGTTAACAAGACTATTAAAATTTATTGCTAATGAAGAAGCGTGTTAAGCAATAAAGACGGAACCGATCGGAGGCGCGGGCGCATGTTTGCGGGCGTGGGCGTGATTGCATACCGCCTTCCATGTGTAAATTCGCCAATATTCGAAGAGATAAGAAATAAATTTATAAAGAAAAAAAGAAGAAAGCGCGAATTTTAGAATTCGGAGAGTTTCTCGAATATTCTGCTGTGAAAGTGTTATTAAATATTAAAAAATAAAAAGAAAACTAGGACAGTTTTAAATTCATCGCTTTTTCTTTCGTCTCAATGTAAGATTTGAGTTCTCTATAAAATTACACTCAAAGAAAAGTATGTACAGTCCTGTGAGAAATTAAGTTTTCGCAATTAGTTTCTAGAATTTGTAGAGCTTCATCGCAGCGCTGAACCCGTGGAAAAGCTATAGTATCAATGGGAATGAATATGCTTCTGAAAGTAATTAAGTATACAATATATACTTATTTAGTTTTAGAAGCATGACTTGCTATCATATCTAATGTCCGCTGGCATCAAGTTCTGGAAGCTCTAAAGTTCAAAAGGGCTGAACGAGATGTGTTATTACGATACACGGCACGACGGGGTATGTCCGCAGCGACAGGTTGCCATGGCAACGAATGCGGCGAACGGTGCCGGCGGACGCACAGTTATAAAACTGCGGAGGAAACGCGGCGGAAGATGCAAAAACTGGAACGCGCGGACTCCATAGCGAGCTGCACTGCAATATAATTGCATAATCCATCCATTCAATTCCTTCATCGGACAACTAGACGTTCGTAGGAGTAGGACTTATACCTCCATCCTCTTCCCGTTACCATTCCACGCCACGAATCAGCGGTTTTTTCACGCATTATGAGAACTACAAAGCCATGGAGCGATGTAGGGACGTTTATAGTCCCGCCCGAATATAACGTGGCTTGAAGAGAGCATTAATCCCTTTTATTGGTATATTCCCCGATGTTTATTTCTGGAGGAGCCAAAATCATCGAAGTATTAGGATTTCAGCGAGACTACCTATCCGTGCTCGTTAATTTGGCGGGTAAATGAAATAGTACCCAATTCGGTGCCATATAGATGCTTTGCAGGTGGTGTGCCAATCGATATACCCACTTTAATACACCACAGGGTAGAACAGTGAAACTGATTGGTGTCGAAATTTTAACTCGTGACAACAGATGAACAGCTCGTTTTCACTATCGATCCCTAACTTTAAGGGACACCGTAAAAAATTAAGTGCTGGTTTCGTTTGTTTCGTTGACATTAGGTGAAAACGGGCATAAGAATATTACATGTGTATTACAAGTATGTTAAGTAGATATCACATTCGTTTATCAGAGCGATTGCAACAGCCAATGCGGAAGATAGCACATAATCTAGACAGACGGGCGTGAAAGAGCAAATAACATGCAGTTGAACGGGAGAACTTACAAGCTGAAGAACGGCGTCTGTCCGTAATAACCAATACCGCGTTATATAACCCGCGTCAATGACCTGTTATGTTGGTAATGCCAATAGTACTGCTGTATACTCAGTAGTCGCTTACCCGATTTCAGAGTTAATGTTATTACCATATAATTGAGTTATTGTGAATTTATCAGTGATTGTTCATTAAGCTGTGTCGAATGCTTGCTTGTCGATATAATATGATTCAATATATAGCAAACAAACCTCTTTCCAAAAGCTGTCTTTCTAATAAGCAAAGATTCTAATTGAGATGATTCGATTTTCTACATGTTTTAATGAGATGATTCGACTAAAGCTTCAAAAAATATATCACATATGACAGTGCAAGTAAACGGATCATCTTTACTTGACTTACTTGTCTTATGTTATCCTAATAATTTAGGATTTTCACTCATTAACAACCGATGATACGGCATAATTTCATGACATAGTCGCACGTGATAAAACTAAAACTCGTCTCGTCTCGGACGAAGCAAGAGTTTTCGCTGTTGCATGAATGGGGAGGTTCGTCCGTGAAGTGGAACTGTTATAGACTTCTTCGTTTCTAATTGATTAAAAGGTGGCAACGTATCTGCAACACTACGGGTGTTGCAGATGTCAATAGGCGGCGGTTATCACTTAACATCAGATGAACCGCCAGCTCGCCTGCCACCTTCTCACATTAAAAAAACAATAAAGTAAGACGAGTAATTCAGAGGCTTTACAGCGACTTGGATCTATAACACCTGTGAGATTGCAGATGGGTGTCTAACCTTTAAGAGCGTAGACTAAGGCACTACACTCACCACTGAATCTTGTCTTGCAGTAGTGGTTCGTTTGGGCCTAGATTTAATTTTATTGATAACAGGATCCCAAGCTGATGGTAGTACCCAACCCTCTTCTCTATTGAAATTAGGGTGTTTTTTTTTAATTTCAACAGCCTCGCGAATCATCCTTGGGAGGAATCGGTGTTTTGCAAGGATCTGTGGTCTATCAAACCTGATGTAGTGGTTGGGCCGATTTAAAGTGTGCTCACAAACTGCAGACTTGTTCAATCTACTGTTTTATGTATTTTTAATTTCCCGTATTTCACGTATTGTTAACTTGCAAGGCGACTTGGTGACTTCGGCCGCAGTTAAAAAAAAAACTTAAAATTGTTTGTAATCTGATAACGCAGCGACAACATTTCAGTATTTTAAGTAAAGCTAGGAGGGTGCGGACCTCTAAAAAAAAACCGTGAGGCATAAATAGATCTGACCTTTCCTTTGACGCCAGGGTTATAACTTGACGCAGGTTTACTGTTTATGTATAGATTTTCTACTTACGCGCCGCGTTATTTAATTGAGATATTTACTCTATTAATTTATTCGAGGTATTCATTTTTTTAAAGTTATACTTCATTGTAGAGTGCTTGCAAAGGAATATTACGTCGTGAAACCTCGGAAGTGGTAGTTTTATTTTAATGTTGACGTAAGCCTAAAGTAAACAAAAAAAAAATCTCTTTAATTTTCGTTATGAACGCTTGCCACACTTTGTCACGACTAGAGAATACACGCTTGGAATGTGAAAAATATATTTTCGGAGTGCATTTTGAAATGACAAGGAATACAATAAATACTAAGGAGGCAAGTCTTTAAGCGTCTGAAACTATATTACACATGAGATAGTATGTATGTTTAATTATACAGTGCTCAAAATCTTTACTAAGTATTAGTAAAGTTACGACAATTTAACAGCACATATTTTCGCTATAAGACGACTTAGATAAATAAAATTAGGATGGCATAGGTAAATACGTTAACGAGATCGCTCCTACACGGCTTAAAACAGCAAAAAGACGCAAAGACTAAATTGCTTGAAAATAAAATAGAAATATCCCAGGTGAGAAAAATGAACAACACCTTTGTGTATAGATTGAAATAAGGAACGAAATCGAGGTACTAAGAAAAAAAATGTTTTAAAAGTTGTCGCGGTTAAATACAAGATACGAATATCACCATACTTTTCGGTGCAGTTTAGTACACGTTTACATATACCTACAAAAAAATAACGCTAATAATTACGCTAAGTTATTATCGTTTGTGATTTGTTCATTATGTTTGAAAAAATTATACAAATTAGACCAACTCACCTGCATAACACAGCGCGACATAGTCCTCCGGTGTGGTGGTACCGTCAGGCAGGTTCCACGATATCGCAAACTTAGAGCCATCTCGGGTCCAGACCAGGGTCCTTGTTTTCTCTGTTTCCTTCTCAGGTGATTCATTCTTTTCATTTAAAATACACGTACTTATTTCTCTAGAGCATGTGGCACTTATTTGTGCTTCCTCAGAAGCATTGGCACTTGTTGCATCAGACGTGGATTGTCCTTGAGCTTCGATCACTTCTTCGGAGTCGGCAATAGTTCTATGGCACTGATCGTCATCGGATTTATCAACACTCGCGTTACAGTCTTTGTCATGATCCTCTGACATGACTCACCCGAACACTGCCTATTCAAACATCGCTCCTAATACCGGTACAACATAAAATAAAACCGATTGTTTTGAAAACCCAAATTAAAATAAAACCTTTTTCACTAATAGAAAAAAAATGTTATATAATTATGGTTGGAAAGCTGAATTTAAATTCGCTAATGAATAGCTCATTAACAACGGAAAATTGTAACTGAAGACGAGACTTCTCCACGTTTCAATGGAACTACATGTGAAAAGCAGTGATTGCCAGGGGGATGTTTGGTGTCTAAGGGTGAGCGACTAGATGCACAAGTGGAGGGTGCTGTGGGGTGTGGGGGGGTGTTGGGGGATCCGTCGCCGACGTCGCGACGCCAGTCCGACCGGCGCCGTCGGCCTCCTACGCTTATTATGCCTATTCAAAAGGAAACTCTTTAATTACAAGTTTAAATTAAGAACATGATAAAGGTCACAGAACATTGATAGATTGAAAGAATTTCGAAATGTTTTATTTATTCAAAGTCAAGAAATTATTGTAACTAGCCTGTTCAATCTTGCCAATCTCGGACTTACAAAAGATTTTAATAAATGGTCACAAGAACTAAGTTTCTTCATGTTTATTTTGTATATTCACATATTTTAAATCAATTTATTAAATACCATAAATGATTACCCTCGCAGAGTGAAAAACCTTACATTGAATTGATATTATCTCTGCTTATCCTCAATACTGGAATAAAATCTTGAGGGTTGATATGTGAAGGGATATGTCAGATTGAGCCAATTTGCTTTTATTTGCGCACTATGTTATTATAGCATTTTTATGTTACTATATTTAAAGATAAAATGAATTTTTTTCTTTTCCAACATAGCAAATATATAAATAATGAAGATAAGAAGACAGTATAGCTGATACATAGAACGACTTGAGATTTGTTAACAAAATCATTGTTGAACAGGAGTGTTTTTAATAACTTCATGCTGAAGTTCCAACAGCAATGAAAAAAAGCCACAGAAAACCATAGCTAATAGTATATAAAATTAGGCATATTAAGTAATAAAAGATATAGTTAAAACTTGTGTTATGATTATGTGTAAAAAACACCATTTAATAATTTCACTTCCACTGTCCTCAGTTTCCACCTTAGTAACTTGCCCAATTAAAAATATAATCTGTGTCAAGTAATTTATAAGGTCTGCCATTTTACAATTTCATTTCAAAATAGAGGTATCTCCTATATGAGATATTACTATACTATTATAAGAAAATTACATAAAATTAAAATAAATCAAATAATATAATTAATATATTAAAAATTATTTAACTCAGTCTAATGATAAGTTTATACTGTGCAAATTATTGGCTTAAACTATGAGAAGTTGTTATCATCATGGTTTAGTTCAAAGAATTAAGGTGTACATTATTCTTGTTACTAAAATTATACTTGTAATGGAATTATGTAGTTTATTTTATTAAACTATTAAGAGGGTAAACTCAAGAAAAAACTATAACTAAACATAATTTTCTAAAGTGAAAATACCAATAAACAGCAAATTGTGCAAATAGAATAATCATTTGTGCGTGAAACATGTTTGTGCACAGCTTTTGAAGAACAGCTGATCAGGTTAGGATGATACGAAGGAAAATAGGGAATGCATTACTTGTGTAGCAAAAGGAGACAACGAAAAAGAAGTTTTCTTCACAAAATTAAAAAATAAAAACATAGAAACATTAATTTTATTTCACTTTAACACTTTTAGAACAATAATGAAACTAAATTTATGTTATAATTAATAAATAAAAGAAATTTAGAAAACTATATGTAACAAATAAAAGCTAAATCTACTCAACAAATAAAAAGATTACGAGGGATATCTAAGTAAAGCACACACTTCTTACGAATACAATTGAACTGTTCTGAAACACAGATTCCACTCGTTATGTTATTTTAATATAATAAAATAGAATTACACGATCCAAAAAATTCTATTTGCGACTGCAGTCAGGCTCGTTCTCAATCACGTAAAATAAGCGAGTAGTACATCGGATCAACTAATCAGTGATAAGTTAGAGTCGATAAGTTATTTTCTATTGGTCGATTAACTTTTCTGCGTTATAAAATTAGAAGAAAACAGAATACTTCTTTGACTTATATTAGATGTCATTTGGAAAAGATTTTGGTACGTTTTAAAACTTAACATTAAACGTAATGATTTTAATGATAATTCTATACTTTTGTATTTACAGTGAGTAAATTTAAAATCATTTTCAATATATTTTTTATTGATTATGCCTACATATATACACACATTTATTCAGAATATTAACAATAGTGACAATGAGGCGGTAGTTTCCTTGAGCCGCCATAAACAAATATCAATAAAGTTATTAATTAGCCTTTGTATACACTTAGTTCCACAGTTTTGAATGCATCACATTAATTTAAAATTGTATCTATAATAACAAAACGACTTTCTCTCTTATAATAAGTAATTGAAATATTCTTCGACTTGCAGGTTTCCTCGCAATAATATCCTACACTATTGAGCAATTTTTTTAAAGCTATTGATGTATTTTATGATTACGCTAAACTATGAGGATACAAACATTATTTTTTTTGAGTATTTAATAAACCGAAGTCACTCTTATTTGTAAATTTGTAATCTGTAAGTGTAGTTCAGTTTCTGTAGTATTACTTTACGCTATGGTGTAGTTATTATCTGTAAAATGAACTTGTCAATGTTATTAAACAATAATAAAAATTAAAAATCAAAGTACCTCCTAGGTCAGCTTCTAAAGAGTACTTTTATATCGAAGCCACTTTATTGTATTTATTGAATATTTTTGAAACTTATTGAATTTGAAGACTCAAAACGAATCCACTTATCATGTGAAGAAAAAATATTGTACATTTAAAGGAAATACATACAATTAAAGAATTGTTTTCGTCTTTTCCTTACAGATTATAACGTCAAAATGACTTCAGCACCATCCGATTCAGAATCTAATGTTAGTGGTTTTATCCGTTACAGTGATAAGGATTTCGTACATTTATATACGTCTATGATAGAGGTAACATCTAAAAGTTAAATATTAATATATTTATATATTCTTTTCATTAAATGGTTTAACAGTTTCAAAACTGTCGGTCGAGATTAAACTTATCGTCCTAAACGGGTTTGTTTTAGAATATGGAAATTATTAATCAAGATATACTTGAAGTTGAGAAGAATATGAAAACCATAATGAAAAAGGCTGGGCCGCTTGAGAACCATCTTGCTACTTTGCTTCAATCGTTTCCTAAAACGAACATGACTCTGCCAATGGAGACACAATAAACAATACACTTTAATAAAAGGAAATCAGTTTTAAAAATTGTGCCTGCATTTGTCATGTAATATTGTATGAAATATTTCAATATTAACATTGCCTTATCATTATATTGGTATTGTTACAAATAAAAAAACTATATTTAGCATATTTTATAAATAAAATAGATCAAAATTTTAAGATTAACAGAATATTCACAAAATTTATTAAAAATTACAAAATTCATTTATTTGGACATAATAACTTTAAATTTGTTTAATTGAAATGTGGAGAGAATTTTGCAGTAATTCCTTGGGGTATATATAAATGTATGTTATTAATTTAATTATTTTACAAAATACAAATAATTGAATACTTTAAAAAAAATCAGCTGTTCATTTGTCACCCTGTCTTTTGATTTTCCTTTGATATTGCTGTTTCTGGATTGAAAAACAGAATTTCGCAAGTATTGATGTAATATTATAAACAAATGTTATTTTATGGTTGGCTATTTTTGAAGCTCTACCCTACAAAAGCTGTAATAATGTGTCTGGATGCTAGCTTTTTACCAGGCTGTGCGATTCAAAGGAGGTAATGTGTTATCAGTTGTATAAACATAATTTATATTTTATATGCATAATTCATGTTTTTACATTATTTATATTTTTTCTCATGTGGCATGTAGCTATCATAGGTGTAGGTTGACTTTGATGATTCTTGCATCAATCGATTTATCTTAATGTTGCATGTGTTACTGACTGATAATTATCAGAATTCACCAGAATGACAACCAGACGTCAAAATGTAGAAATGAAAAAACCCTTAAGTGCAATTCTTTAAAATGTAATCCATAAATAGGACACACCAGCACTGTGGGTAGATTAAAATGCTATAAGTTCGTGAAAGCATGATGTACATAATTATTTTTTTTACTGTTAGAATGACCTTGAACCCAAATTCCTTAGGTTCAATTTGCCCCTGGACCTACTAAACAGGAAATTAGCCAAGAACCAGGGAAAGCGGCGGGCGGATATTGACGTGAACCGCACTATAAAGTATTTTTAGTGGACGGCCAAAAATAAGAAGATATGCATACTAATATTATTAAAGAACAAACTAAACTGAAGAGTTTGTTTGTTTGAACTCGCTAATCTCAGGGATTATTGGTCCGATTTGAAAAATTCTTGCACTGTTAGATAGCCCATTTATTGACAAAGGCTACTTTTTAAGCAAGGTATAAAGTTAACATGCGGGCGGAGCCGCGGGTGAAAAGATAGTAAGTAATAATTATAATAATCACTTTATCATTTTATTACATTAATCCCCGCATAATAAGGGCATAATAACGATATACTAAAGTTTATTAAAAAAGTCGGTACCTGTTATAATTATGAGAATTAGCGAGAATGGATAACAACTTCAAAGACGTTTATATATAAATTAGTTGCATTGCGTATCCACACAGAAAATTACTAACATTCCTAACTAGTCAATGGTCCCATATAACGCACAACTGAAGCACTTTATTTTAATAATTTTTTTATATAAGAAATTATAATTGATTAAAATAATATATCCATTATACAAGAAATTAAAGCCGTGATAGCTCGGTGTCCGAGCGCTCGCCTTTAATTACATTTTTTTTATTTATTTACCTCTTTCTTTTTAAACATACATAAACATATAACAACAGTAACCCAGATGCGAAACAACTATCTGTGGGTCACACAAATAGTTGTCCCGTGTGGGAATCGAACCCACGACCCCCGACGCCGAAGCCAAATACCTTGGCGACTGCGCCACGGAATCATTTACTCGAGTTCGATCCCCGTTGCCTGCACCAATGAAATTGTTAATTTTAAGTGCCTAATTATCACGTGCTCGGCGGTGAACGAAAACATCGTGAGGAAACCTGCATATTTTCGAAAAAATAATTAAAAAAATGTTTCGAAAATATGTGAAGTCCGCCAATACGCACACTGCGTGTGGTTGCGTGGAGAACTATGCCCTAATACCCTCTTTACAGAGGAGGCTTTTGCCCAGCAGTGGGACATATAGGCTGTTACGGAAAGGGATATTAGCCCTAAATGCAAATCTCATCATTTTAGTCCTAATAAGCTCTAGTGTCTAAATAGTCTTAAAACATCAAAAAGTTACAAAACAATCTCCGCGGCGAGTAGCGGTAGTGACAGCTGATTTTATTTTCATATTTATAATAGACAGTGTAGGTACTAGTAATGTCATATTAAGATATGACAATATTTCAATGACGAGAATTATATAATCACTTTATTTAAATTATAATTATATACTTCACCACAAAACATTAATGGCTATGATTAGTACAAGAGCGAAATCCCCAACACGTGCTGAGGCAATAGCGAAAGCTTTAAAACCGGGACCAGAGTATAGTTCTGGCGTTTTATTAGGTATTCAGCTCTCCATTCGTTTGTATGGCTTGTTTTAATTCTGGTTTATTATTTAACAGCTCGATTGTGTTACCTTTCAGGCAACTGGGTTGAGGACAGAATAGAATGCCCCAAAGATGGCACGCTCTACTTTCCACCTAAAGATAGTGTAGATTTCGATAAGCTGCAAAGGGAATCAAGGCAGCCGGATTTTCGCGTGAATAGATTGTACAGTTCACAGGTTTGATATTATTCTACAATCGAATCTGCTTCCATACAATGTACTCCCCTCCCCTGGCCTCACACCGCACTATTCGTTTTTCTCATTGTTCAAAGCAATGCTGAGAGTCTAATTTTGTAAGAGGATTTAGGAACGCCGCCGATTAACGCTTCACCTTTTCCATCGAATAGCATCGGCTTCTTTTTAAAGCAGACTTAAAACAAGAAAAAGTCAAAGAGAACTATATCAGACGAGTACGGTGCCTCTAGCGGCTCAATAACCCTTCTTTTTTTGTATGGAGACTTTTGTTTGGAGTTTTTTGGATGGAAGGGGCTTCACAGGCACTCGTTATGGGCAGGTGCGCTGTTTGCACGCAAGGTGCACGACAACGGAGTCATATACCTACTTAAATCGCGCTATTAGTATCACCATCGTTATCTTTGTACTTACGCCGAATACGAGATCCGAAGGCCTTCGAGTATTGCCTTGCTTCCGATATAATAATAACAATAAATAATAATTTAGGGTGTATCGATGAGGCTGGCATGAAACAGTCAGTTCGTGATGTGTTTTTTGCACGCCTGACAAAGGTGTTTAACAGCCATTTGTCAGGCGTGAACAAGGCACGCGCATTTAACGGCTGGGTCATGCCAGTCCTCATGTATACCTTTGGCATACTCAGGTGGACTCAAACTGAGCTCAATGCCCTGGACCGAAAAGTCCGCACAACTATGACGTCCCACAGGATGCATCATCCGAGATCGTCAGTGATGAGGCTGTACCTGCCGCGGAAGCATGGCGGGAGGGGCTTTTTGAGCGCCCTTACCATGCACAATCGCGAGGTGTGCAGCCTCCGCAACTACTTCCTGGCGAGATCGGATGAGTCAATCTACACGGACGTCATTAGTTGTGATAAAGGACTTACCCTTCTATCCTTAGCCAACAAGCAATGGCAGGACCCGGGAGTACTGAGCGTTTCAGACCGAGAGGCCGTATGGAAGGAGAAAGAGCTCCACGGGAGGTTCTACAAGGCTCTACACGAGCCTTTCGTAGATACTGTTGCCTCCCTTAACTGGCTACGTTTCGGTGACCTCTTTGGGGAAACCGAAGGTTTTGTTTGTGCGATACAGGATCAGGTTATTAAGACGAACAACTATCGGAGATACATCCTAAAGGATGGCACCGTCGACATCTGTCGAGCTTGTCGCCATCCCGGGGAGTCGCTTCGGCATGTTATCTCCGGTTGTTCCATGCTTTCTAACTCTGAGTATCTGCATAGACACAACCTAGTTGCCAGAATCCTACACCAGGAGCTCGCTCTGAAATACGGCCTCGTGGAACGGAAACTGCCGTATTATAAGTACTCTCCGGAGGCCGTGCTCGAAAATGACCGCGCCAGGCTCTATTGGGACCGGTCCATCATTACGGACAGGACGATTGTCGCGAACAAACCTGATATCGTGTTGATGGACCGGGCACAGTTGCGGGTATTTTTGGTCGGCATTACCATTCCATATAACGAGAACCTCGTGAAAGCCGAAACAGATAAGAAGACGAAGTATCTGGACCTGGCTCACGAGGTGACCGACATGTGGGGTGGTGTGCCGACCGAAATTATCCCGATAGTCGTGTCTGCGAATGGGTTGATCCCAGTCAGCCTCTCTAAAACATCTGAGGCGACTGGGACTCCGGGACGGATCGCTCCAGGCTCAAATGCAGAAGGCGGAGCTCCTCGATACCGCCCGCATCGTCCGCCGGTTTCTCTCCCTTTCGCCCTAACCCTCGGCCGTTTGGTCTCCCCTGCCGAGGGCTTCCGTCTGGTTGGGTCCTATTTATATATATGTATTATATATAAATATTTATATATATATATATATATATATATATATATATATATATATATATATATTTATTTTTTTATATATATATATATATATATATTTTTTATTTATAAACCCAACCAGACGAGAAAACAAATGAATATCCCCCCAATAAATAATAATTTATTTTGAAAAGAAACATTGTTTGCTGCGATATTTGTGCATATAGCTTAGCGTAGATATGATTAGACCAGTGCAATGTTATTAGGAAAAGAAATTGTATGCTGCCTAAAATAAGCAACACGGTATCAGCATTCAATCATTCAACGCGGATATGATTTTAGAATATTTCCATCTTCAGTAAAAAGAACTTGACTTCTGATATGACGCCGTGATCACCTTCGTTTCTTAAAAATAGAGTTTTCGGCTAAGATAATAGATATCCTTCGCCTTACAGTGCACGGGGTTGGAGGGTAAGGATCAAAACAACCTTGTTCAAGATATATGCACTTTTAAGAAAAAAACTATATCGATACGTTTTTGTGAAGAATGCAACTAAGCAATTCATTTTATTTTGCAGGGCAATGTTGCTACAGTAATTAAGCATAGTAGCCACGAGAAATGCGGAAACTACGCCACCACCAACGACCTGGTTTACAATCATTTACCAAAGCCGCTTTGTGGCCCCGTTCAACGCTATTACAAAAGATGCGCTCACCAATACTACCCGCAGCCTGATTTAATGAAATGCTATGTATGCAGATTACATCAATTTTCTTGATATTTACCATGTTTACAGTGAGTTATAAAATCACACAAAAATGTTGCACGTCTCCTGTGTAGGGATTGAAATAAATTATCATTATCATCCTGTTTGAGTCTACTTGATCCATCGACTTCCTGCACAGGTCGTGATACAGTTCGCAATGAAGACATCCACAGTAGAAGTAGTAGTTCGGGGGCTTATTAGCTGAAGTGGCAATGGGCCAGCCTTATAGTTCGAAGAAACAATGACTGATGGGATGGGGATATGTTCTCGAGAGGCAGCCTCGTATTGGCCATCGTAGTGTAAGGCAACCCCCCACTAGATGGAGTGAAAAAAAAAAAATTTTGTAATAAATTAACTATTGTACTGTGCATTAATTTGTGCACTATACGATATTTTGTGTAAATAATAAAAGTATTTCAGTACAAACATTATATAGATCATCGGCTTATTTGGTCAGGAAAATTACTATTAGACGTATAATACTTTATTACCTATTTGAAAAATATTCGCATTACGCTTACGGAAAATGTGTATTTAAGTCTTGATTTTATTTTAAATGTTCATTTCTAGTAATTCTGTGAGAAGTCTCACTCAGTTTATAAAACGTATTTCTATCGATATAATTGTTTTCTTTTGTATAATTTCCTTTAAATATTATAATGCTTATAAATGACGTGCATAGCTTATGAATGTTTGGAAAAGTTACGAAAACATTTTGAAGAAAATCACAAAAATATAATTCATATACAACAAACATTCAAATTTTTCAGGGTAATGTCACGGAATGGGGACTAAGAAAATACTTGCAACAAGAGTGGGCTTGCTGCGATGTACCAGATTATTTTTCCACCCTTAACGAAGATACGTTTGTGGCCCCGTTGCCTTTTCAATATTTACAAGGTTCCGAACGGAGCGCGCGGAATTCGTAAGTGAATTTTATGTTTTCATTCTTACTGTAATAATCTTGCTTTATATTTTTTACAGGCCAGTCTTTAAGATCAATTTTTGATGAATGGATAGCTTCAGTTATAATTTTTCTACAGTGACTATTCATCCAAAACAGTTTAACAATATTAAACATTTTCTATATTAACTTTCTTACCAATAACTTTATTGAAATGAACTAGATAAAATAAAACAATATAGTTTCACTTTATACAATTTTATTACAGGAGCTTCACAAAAACTTTCCGTTACAAGATGACGAAACCAAAACAGAAAAGGAAACAATGATAACATCAAGAATCATTTACACTTTTCCGAAAAGAAAATCATTAGTCTTTACATATCACATTTTGTTCAAGACGAGGACAGTGACGTCCTTATAAAAATTGTAACAATACAATAATTCTTAATGCTTTCATATATCCGCCACCTGGCACCAAACACGAGATCAGCATAATCTTAAACACTAGTTTTACATTCAAATATTACAACTAATAACCGCTTACAACCTAATGCACGTGATATAACTTAATAAGATTCTTAACGTAATGGCAGTTCATGAAGTTGATATACAAGTCGATTGTAATGAAACAAAAACAAGGTTAGTCAAAATTCTTAGTGGTAGAGATGGCTGGCATCTGAACCCTAGCGGGAGGCAAATATGTTATCTTGAGGCAATTTGATCAGTCCAGACCCACCAGGGGTCTTGAACAGGCCGTTCGGGGGGAAGGGTTGCTGCTGGGCGAAGACATTCTGGGACACAAAGGTCTGCTGAGCCAACCTCGGCCGAGGTATTTGCACGTGCCTGTTGTACTGCATTTGTGGGAAGACGGGCGAGCTGATCGGCGCGAAACTTGAAGCGTGTTGGGAGCTGCAATTGCTCGGGTTGTAATTATGAAATCTGTCGAACAGCGCGGTGGTCCTGTCCGGCTCCCCGCACACGGAATCTTCTCGTGACGGGGGCTGAGAGAACGGATTGCGCTGGTTCACACTCGAGGTCTGCGATTCGAAGCCGGAGCTTTGGCTCGACGAGCGGCTGCCGTTTATATTGAATATCTGGCGTTCGCCTTCAGAACCCCAATAGCCGCCGGCCACCCATGATGTGCTGTGGCCAAGCTTGCTCGGCGATATCAGTGGCCGGCAACCGTTCAACGGCGTCGGCACCGCAAAGCATGGGGTGGGGTTAAACTTTCGCAATCCGAAGACTGGATTACTCTTCGCATTCCCCTTCTTTGGACCAATACACAAAGAGCTTATGCTTTCATCCAACTCCGAATCGGAATCGCTTTTGGCCAAATTCTGATATTTATTGAATGATGGCTTTATAAATACGGAGTCAGAAACAGAATTAGGACTTTTGGTCATAACTGGGTTCACACAGAATGTGGAGTTCAGTTTTGGCTTGCCCCAAACACTTTCTGTCCTTGGAGTGAATGATCTACCATTACTCAAACTTTTGTTTAATGGACTGAGAGTTTCATTAGACGAGTCTGTAAAGTTGTGCAATCCAAATTTACTTAGGGATACATCATCATCTGTGTCCAGAGACAGACTGTCCTCTTCATCAATTAAGGAATTAATTCTTCCATTTGCTAAATTCTTCACTTTTTTTGGTGTTGTTTGTATTCTTAAAGCCATTCTAACAGTCTTTGATTTCATTTTTCTATACACTAACATGAGTCCCAAAACACTTGATAACTGAAACGAAAGTAAACCATAGAATTATTTTACAATAAAATTTATATAAACATGCACAAAACACTTTTATTTATGTAATAGTTTTTACCTTGACACTAGTCATAAGGATTGGATCCAAGGGCACAGATTTATGTGCAATAGAAGTGACTGCAAATACTGACCACAGTAAGTCAATAACTATACTATAATTAAGTTTGTTTATATTCCAAACATGTCCTAAAATTTGAATAAAACATACAAAGCCTCCTAAAGCTTTTTGGGTCAAATCATTAACACTGTTTAAACGTCCAGTTCTTAAATCCTTAAACATTTGAATGTCTTCAACAATATTCATGTCATAGAAAATACTTTCTAGATGGGGGAATGTCATAAATGTCTTCATTTTTATTATTGTTAATATCCTATCAAAGAGACTGACTACAATATCTTGAATATTATGCAGTGTATTCAACAAGTTTTTATGTTTCTTAATGCTGTGCCAGAATTCAAATGCAACTAGCACAATCAGTATTCCTGCTATCAATGTAGAAGAACCATTTACAAGATTCTTTATAATTTGACTCTGTTTTTCTTGATGCTTCTGTTGTTTCTTCTCAGGTGTCCTGGTTTGTAACAGCTTGGAACCTAGGAAGGTCTCTTTCTCCTTATGCAGCTTGCTTTGTAGTATTTTTTTACATGGGCTACATAATTTATATGCTTTTTCTAACTGCAACCTGAAATGTAATATCAAAAATATGTGAATATTTTTATAATTAAATGTTATAAAATTATTTAAGTTGGACTAAAAATGAGCAATAATTATAATGTGCACACCCAATAATTTCTTACAATCTGAAACCCTTTTAATACAAGCAATATGAAAAAAGGTGTGTTCATGCATGAAATAGAATATAATTGTATATGAAATAAAATATAAGATAAGAGTAAAATTTTATTTCATTTTGAATATTTTGAGGGTTAGATACAGTCTTAACATTTGACATATTAGAGATTGCTAAAGATTTATCAACTAACTCCATAATAATTTCACGTCACTGAGCATATGCACCATATGTATAAATTTACTATCACATAATTTTCCCATAACATGTCAAAACAAATAAAATTAAATATGTTAGTTACTATATCTGTCCACCCCACTTGTGCAGGAATTTATCTGATTATTATTTCATTCTTGCATTTATATTGTTAAATACAAATATGTTAACAGTTTTCAGTGTAATCAGAGAACTTTTGTGATAACAACATAATTACATACACATGATAAATATCTGAGATAAATAAGTAAACATTGTACAGTTCGAAACCTAAAATAAAATTGTAGATCTATTACACACAGATCATTTCGCAAAACATCCATTAGTTAAGGAGCTGAGGAGCATTTTGGTATATGATTTGCACATTTCATATCAATATGGATTAAAGTATTGATCAAAATGAGTTGATTTGGTTGGAGTAATTGATGGATTAACAGAACCAAAAATCATTAGGACATTTCCTACGTCGAGGATTTTTGCATTACTAATCTGTCCCTGAGGCTGATGGTTTTTAGATCCAGGCCTCTGATATTCTATTAGGTAGACCATTTGAATATTATGTTTTTAAAACTCTTCGTTAGTGCCAAGCTACAAGTACAGATACTAAATTCTGTCTACTGAAAAGTATTGAAGATAATTTATGTTACATGTGCATAGGCAGACATATGCGCATAATATAGCATAATAATTTTTTAAATTATTTTTAACCACTTTCAATTGACAATGCAGAGCAATATGTTGGCAGATTATTTTTCTATAGTTCTTCTCAATATTTTTGTGGAACAATACAGGTCTGCGAAGTGTGCACATCATGTACAAATTTTTAAGTCATAAAAATTCAGCATAGCATCGAATCTTAAAATAAGCAAACATGTGCAAATTACTAACCCCCTTGTACCCCCCTCATCGCAGCACTACCAAGTTGACAGATGGAGACTATCATTATTAATAATAATAAATCAGATTTCCATATGTGGTGATCATATAGAAATTTGCCTCGCCAGCTCCCTAATACATGTCTTAAGGAATGAGTTTAACTGTAGCTAAATTTGACATATTACTGATATATGCTATCACTTTTTGTTAAACAAAAATATTAGTTACCTGTATGATTCTATTTCTTCATCAAACATCTTATCATTCATAGGAACAAAATTGGCCAACTGTGTCACCTTGAGCTGTTGATTTATATTACACATTTTACAGAGGCCATTCTTTGGTGAATTATTTTGAAAAACTTTAGGGCTCTTGTTTGTTTGCTCTGTAGCTATATTGAGGACCCTGTTGTAATCACCATCCTTAAAAAAAGTGTTGGTTTAATTTCTCTAACATTAAGTATTGACATTTAAAGAAGCCTACACAATCAAAAATGTTTGGGAAAATACGATTCTTAGATCTTCTGTACTGTCTGGTAGGAGAAATTGCAATGATAATCTAATGCAGCAGTTACGCGATTTAATAGCATATTTTATCTAATATTCGGTAGCAAAATGAGTATTTTTCATAATTATTTAATTTCTAAAAATTGCTAATGATTGCTAATTGGAATCATAATAATTAAATATTTGAAAACAAACTGATAAAAATTATCACCTTAGTAAATCCATTGTACTGTTCACATTTTGGACAAATCCAGCAATTGCGGACTGGAAACTTTACCCAACTATTACAGTTACAAAACCAACAATTAACACGCCAAGGCAATGCTGATCTGTAAGCAAGATTTTATAGAATATATATTTATTATCAGGCGGGAAAGTAGGTAACCTAAACCAATATCACGCGTACTCACCGAAGGTTGTGGAGAAGTTTTAATAGTAGTATCGTACAAAGTATGGCAGTTATCGTAATCAGCACTGATTCCATTTTATAATGAAACTTCATTTTTGCTGTAGTTTTGTCATTTATTTAATAAAACCCTAATTTATAGTCACTAACCTAAAAATAATCGCCCACCCACCATCACTCCACAGTCACAGATAACATATAAGCATATAAAATTATAAATCAAATTGAAATCGATACAGAGGTTTATTAATAATATAGACCTTTAATGACCAAAAAATCAATAATTTTTAAATCCGCTGATAAAAGTTTCGGTATTTATCCCACTCGCTCAGACTCCCGCGCTGCATCCGAGGCAGTACTAAGTATACTATTAACTTAACATAAACTAAAAGGAACCATTAGTTTACGAGAATTAAATTTATTACATACATATTTAATAAAATAATTAATTGACGATAACCATTTATCTTCGAAAGTAACAAGTATCAAATATAATTATGTTCTTGCAATTATATAACTCTAACCAGACTGCCGCCCGGTTTTCGAAACATTGATCATCGTAGATGTTAACTAATCAGCTGTCAAATGGCTTTTCAGATGTCATTTGAGTTGCCAAAAAGATGGTTATACTAGAAAACAAAGGATTCCTACACAAAACGCAATTTGGCTTCAGGAAGGGATTCAGCACAATTGACAGCCTTAGCATCTTTATCTCTGATACCCGACTGGCATTTTCCAAACAAGAATCTGTCACCGCAGCCTTTCTTGATATAAGTTCGGTATACGACAATGTGATTCTTCCGCTGCTCAGGCAAAAAATGCTCCAGCTGAGCATTCCCATGAGGATAATAAATTTCATATCCAACCTATTCTCTAACAGGCGCATCCTTGTTCGCACTCAAGGGTTTTCCCTTCCTTCGAGATCTGTCTGGAAAGGACTCCCACAAGGATCTGTAGTGAGCCCTCTTCTTTTTAACATCTACACTTATGATTTAAATACATCTGTTAATTATACATCCAGTATTTTACAATATGCTGATGATCTTGCTCTCTATGCCACTAATCCTTCTATAGCTGAAGCATCTTCCCACTTTTCGCCCTCCACTCCAACTGCCTTTGAATATTTAGACAGATGGTTATCTAACCATGGATTATCGATATCCCCCCTTAAAAGTGATATTGTTGTCTTCTCTCGACATTGTTTTATCCCTGATCTTTCTATTTCTGTAGGAAACCAGAATATCCCAAACAACAATAAAGTAAAATTTCTGGGTGTCTATCTGGATTCAAAATTAACTGGAATTCCTCATCTGTCATCACATCTAAATGTGAAAAAAACCTGAATGTCGTTCGTCCTTTATCTGGTGTCTGGTGGGGTTCCCATCCGTATACGCAAAAACTCCTGTACAACGCGCTAATAAGGAGTCATTTTGACTATGGCTCTTTTCTATTAGAGCCTTGCAACAAGGCAGTTCTGGCCACTCTTGATAAGATCCAGTACAAATGTCTCCGCATCATCACGGGTTGCATGAAATCTTCCCCTATAAACGCCCTCCAGGTGGAATGTGCCGAACCTCCTCTCATCCTCCGCAGACAACTTATGTCAGATAATTTCCTATTTAAAGCAGCTCAAATTTTGTACCATACCCTTCTCCCTAGGCTACAAAGCCTCTCCCAATTAGCTAGAGAATCCAGTTACTGGACTCACAAAGACTTACCATGCCTTTTAAAAAGTTATTTTAAATTTGTTAACATACGGTCACCAATTTTCCAATCCACCAAGAATCCGCTGTTTGAAACTCCCTTTGAGGCCTTAACTTTCAACTCTCAAGTAATTCTAGACTTTGGTATAGATCACTATAAAACAAATTATCACTCAACATTGGCATGACTGGTTGCTCATGTACACTGATGCATCTAAATTAACTAATCAAGGCTGTACTGGCTTTGCACTGTGGATACTGAAGTACAGAATAATCCTCAATAACAAGTGCTCCTCTTATACTTCAGTATTCACTGGTGAATCTCTGGCAATTCTAGAAGCAGTCCTCTACTCAGAATCCCATAATATAAGTAAAACCTTAGTTCTTTCTGATTCATTAAGTTGTCTACAAAATTATTGTCAAACCCATTCCGTTCGAAGTTTAGGAACCCGACTATTTAAAAATCGGGGTAGGGTTAAATGTAGTCCTTGCCTGGATCCCAGGACATTGTGGACTTCCAGGCAATGAATGTGCAGACCAACTAGCCTAAGCAGCTTTAACATCTAACTTTCTTTCCTTGCAACATACTTTCTTTATATGATTTGATACCATTAGCTAGTTCAGACCTCATAACCTCATGGCGTAATATCTGGTGCAAATCTAAACTTGTTTCCGGTAAATATTATGCTCGTGCCCAAGAAGACATTCCCAAAAAACCCTGGTTCTTTCAGTATCGTAATGCCAGCAAACAAACTACATCAACCATTTGCCGTCTCCGCCTTGGACATAGCTGCACACCTGTTCACTTAGCCAAGTTTAGAATCAGGGATAACTCAATCTGTGAGTGTGGGCTGGACGAAGGATCTCCTGATCATATATTTTTTGCTTGTCCCAAATTAACTTTCTCCTTTATGACTTCCTTGTGTGATTTTATCCATGTAAATAAAATAAAATGTTAATGTATTTAGATTTTGTGATGTGTGCATCTGTGTCTGTAAGGTGATGGGATTTAAATGTAATGTGCAAATGTCTCTTTACATTCAGGTTGGAAATCTCAATATAATCTCAAAATTCTATAAGTATAAATAAGGCTCTATAAGTATAAACGTCACTTGCTTGACTGACATGATGTTGACAGAATTTAAGAGAAGCCATTTATTAAAGAAAGAAGAAGAAGAAGGGTGGTTAAACTCATAGAATTGATCAATCTGATCATTAAGAAGATCATTCTGATCCCCGACTCAGCGGGGCTGCTCGTTTTACCAACGGATTTAAAATGTCTTAACGTGGACAGAGTATAGCAGTTCAGCGATTCTCATATAACAAGGGGCATCGGTTGATCGATGAAGGAATCGATTTTAATATAATTGAAGCCGTGTAAATTTTTAGCACATGTTTGTGATAATGAGGAAAACAGGATTTGTATAGATTTAATTTGCGTATTATCAGTGTCTACTAGTTGCTTGTAAAAGAAATCGAGATTTTACATACTTCGCATTAATGGCTACAGAGCTAATGTGATGTTTGAATGTGAGTTTTTCTCTAGCGTAAAGTGGACACTTGGCGTTGCTTTCCCACGGATTACGTTGGTATATTTTAACTATAAGGAGCTATATTGCTGTGTCGTTTGTATATTGTGCCAACTCGACCTCAGGGGTACTAGCGGTGTCACTAGTGTATAGGGAAAAGGGTCTAAGAGTACCAATCCTTGGAGAACGCTCGCTCTCGAGGGGATGGAGACAGGAAAGGGTTTGAAGGAATGTTTGTAATATCAATGTTTGAAAAATTGATATTACAAACATTGATTTACTAAACATTATGTTTCGACATGAAGTCTCGTACGTTGTTTCTGTTAAATAATATAAATAAGGTTGGGCCACGCAATATTATTCGCTGTTGTACGAATGGGCAAGTCCGTGTGGGTAAGTACCATGACTTCACAAAATATCGGCGTAAAGTGGAAAGTGGAAATGGCGGTGGCTTGCCACCTTCTCACATAATAAAAAAAATAAGCTCTCTCTCTATTGTAGATTATAAAATAAGCCGTTAGGCCAGACTATAGAATGCCTTCACGAAGTCGAATAGAAGTAACATCACGTGATATTACTTGCGTTCTCGTAAATGATTGATTCTCTTTAATTAATTGTTTTGTTTGGTTGCTGTACCAACGGAACTTTCCGACGAAGCTGTAAAAGCGGCCTTACTATCTGTGAACTTAACGCAAAAAAACTTTCAGTTTGAAACACATCGAGGTACATCATTAGCTTTGTTCCCCACAGATTACAAATTGGTATGTAATTGCCATTATTGTCAAAATATTGAAAATAACATCCATGTCAATTTTTGTGGGTTATGTGTCAAAATCATGCTTTCATCTTTTTATTATTAGTATACTAAAATATTTTTTTTTCAATAGGCATAAATAAAACCACCAGAAGTGTTCATTGGCGTATTCATTGAAAACCGCCAAAAAAGAAAAGAAGAAGAAGAAGAAGTTTCGAGATAGGCATAAATAATTTTATCTTAAATATTTAGAGATGTCTAGAAATTTAAAAATGTTATTTCTGTGTAACTATGATACTATTTTGAATGGCTCAGGTATCTTAAAAATAATATTGCGTTAAATACATTGCGTCTATAAATTGTTTGCTTTAAAATTTAATTGTTTTTTTCCTAATTAAAATTTCAGATCAAGAAACAATAAAGAAATTGTGGTCTGGGAACTGGAAAATCGAAAGCACCGAATTGTGTAACAGTCTTTTAACTTCTGGATTAAACACTGACACGTTAGCGGATATATTTACAAAACGTTCGAAAGAACATGGCTTTACCGAAGAGATATTAGACGTTGCTATTAGTGCATTTTTAACTTATTGCCATTTGAATTGGAGCACTCTTCCTGAGAAACTCGAATTACAGCAGTATTTTGGTACAGAATGGCCTTTAGATATAGACGTGTCTGTAAGACTGCAGCGTGATTCAGAGCCATTATGTCCAAACATATTATATCCCGAATTGCTATTTTTCGCTTTACAAATATTTGACAGCCTATCCTCTGTGGAAGAAAATGTAGTAAGTCACATTTTTTCTTATCATGTATAAAATTTAATTTGTCAGCATTGGATTAGTATCAAAATATTTCTTCACATGGGTTATTACAAATTGGACTCGTTATAATTACAACTAAAGTGGTATAGCCCATTCTCCATTATATAATAAAATAAGGTTGGTGATCATAAAATACATTGGCTTATGGCTGGTTAAATATTCTATCTACAGATATATTTGGTTACTTAAGATAGAATTTTGACATAAGTACTATGGAGCTAATGTCAAATAGCTCTTTGTAGTAACCAAGTTTATCTGTAGGTAGAATATTGAAACTGGCCATAAATCTGTCTACATTTTTGTAATGAGAGGCACAACAGCTAACTATTATAAATTTTCAGGTGCACCTTTGGTGGTGTTTCCGTAGTAAAGTTACACATCAAAGAGCTCTGGAGGAAACTAGTGCAAGCCTTTTTAATGAGCTGGAACACATCATGGCAAAGTTATCTAATGAGTCTCAGAAATTAGATAACCCCAGAACTAAAGTTCTACTTTTCATAGAAATGGCAGAAGCATGTCTAATATATGGAAGAGTGCAAAAGGTAGAAGAATATCTACTTAAGGCAAAAGAAGTTGCTGGACTAAAACTGGAATTGACTGGTAAGTGTTTGTGTTTGTGCTCTTAAGAGTGCATTAAAATTTTTGGTTCTGTACAAAACTTTCGCCCTGAATGAAATGAATTGATCATTCTGATCATTCTGTCCGATTCAAAGAGTTTAACCATCCTTTTGGAAACCCAAATGAAATTTGAAAAGTCATTTGACAGTTAATTAGTTAACTATGGTGATCAGTGTTTCAGATGTTAGTGTGAGAATAATTTACTAATTAAATGTTTTTATAACCAATCGTGCTTTGATATTTTAAAATAATGAAAACTTATACTGATTCAAAAAATTGTATTACTGAAACTATCTAACATGGCTGGGTCAACACCTTGGGACTTTAAAACTTTTCTCTGTACTAATGAGTTTTCTATTTTTTTGGTTTTCTTATGTGCAAAAACATTTCCTGCCACTTGTGTTGAGTGTATAGCTGTAGAACTCGGGTCATATTCGGACTACATATGCTTGGAGATGCCTGAATAGCAACAATCTGTTTCTAGAATATTAAGATCTAAATATGTGTATCTTATATATTTTGCATTATGTTGTAGCATGAAAATATAATTTTTGTACTCTTATAGGCATCCTAGGAAAAAGGACAAAGTTTCAACAAAATGCCTTACCACAATTAGCTTTGACAAGTGAGCTGGATTCAACTGTGGACCGTGAATCTGCGGAAATTAGCCACGGAAACTCAGAGCTACCCCCAGATATAGAGTTGCAAGATGATGTAAGATTAAATAAGATACAATTTATTGATAAAATTAGTCAGGCCGAATTACCAAGTTTGGAGCAGACATTATGTTTGCTTACTGTGTAAGTATACTGTTTCTATTAAGTATACTGTTTCTATTATTTAAGAAAACTGTGAAATGATGTGCTTGTTATGTTTATACTCTATACAGAACATTAATAGGTCAAATTATTTCATATATTTTTTTAAGTGAAAGTTAGCAAGCATGCAAGAAGTTCATCCGTTGTTAAGTAATTACTTATCGACACATACAATACTTAAGACAGCTTCTCCAAATCTTATTACTTTTTTGCTTATCCATTTTTACAACAACGAAAGTGGCTGGGGAAGATGATTTTAGCTATTTTCGTATCTTCGTATAGAAGTATGTTGGCTTTGGCTCCTTCTGATGTTCGAAATTAATGTAAAAAAAAAATTAGTCAGACATGTGAGCAACGATTTAAAATTAGATAGCATTAATGCAAATTTCAGAAATTGTATTGAATTGCTCTTGTAGTCAGTACATTCAAATGTCCCGCCCGAAGGACGATCTTATGGTGGAAGAGCTGCAGCCGTACATTGAAGCGGTGCTGTCGCAGCAGAAAGGGCCATGGTCGACCAGAGTCGCTGCTCTACTTATACGGTGTAAGCTGGAATCGAATCACAAACGTACGGTTGAACGGGCCATGTTGCAATGCGAGACGATTGTAAACGATAAAACATGCGTCGCGGCTACAAGCAGGTATAAAACTTACATTCATTAGTTTAATAGAAACTACTTTTTATTAACATAAAATGTGAAAGGTAGATAAATTAAGAAATATTTCAGAGCTGCGTTGATCGATTCAGCATCTTCTGGATAATGTGCCCAGATGCTTTACCCATTTCTAAAACACGTACATCTGTATATTCTTTAGTGCATACCGTTTACCTTATCTATCTACAAAAATACACATTTTCCGTTTCATCCAGAGTTCAGAGATTAGCACTAAAAAATAAATATTAATTCTATAAATCCTTAAAAATTTTTTTTACCTTTCACTGACACGCCGCAAAATTAACATACGTCACACGCCAGTGGAAATATAATAAAAACTAATATGAAATTTTGTTCTTTTCTTACTGTATTGCAATGCTCTTGTTTCACATTCAGATTGTCTTACCTATGGGCGAGCGGTCTGCCGCCTGCTTGGACCTGGCGTCAACAGCTGGGCGACCTGTACCTCAGCATGGGCCTGGTCAAGGCCGCCCTGGAGGAGTTCCAGCGGTTGCAATTGTGGGAAGAGGTCATTGTGTGCTTCACCATGTTGCAGCTACGCCATAAGGTGGGGCCCATTTATTTATTTCATTGAACGCTATTTTAATGTACGCCTGTTAAAGACAAGACCATTAAAGTTGATGAATTAAAAGTTTAAAAAATATAGTTTTAGTAAAAATACTTGTAGTTTGTCAATTGTGGGTTCGATTCCTGCTACTGGAAAAATATTGTGTGATGAAAATTGTGTTTCTAGCACCTGGTTGCTTATATTATATCTATAATATGTACTTATGTACAAAAGAAAAATTATGTTCCAAGATTCCAATGAATCCGCACAATGTTCCGGTGATATTTAAAAGTAACTGACTGTCAGGGAGCAGTAAAGTAGTTGTGTATATTGAAAATGAAAAAAATCTCTATCCTATCTAACGTTCTTAAAATGCTGGTCACAGTGATTTTATCGTGCGTATAAAATTTATTAAATTATTATCTATTTATTAAATGAGAATTGTCCGTGTGCGCTTTTCACGCCAAAATCACTTGACGAATTGAAGATATTATTTCCAATGGCGATATAAGTTTTGATTTCATTCCAGGCGGCAGAAGTGATTCAGCAGCAAATAGACATAAAACCGAGCGTCAAGTTATACTGTTTATTAGGAGACGCAACAGGTACGAACAAGTAAAATATATTGAAAGTTTTGAATCATTCGGTGTTTCGTTCGGAGTTGTAATTGTTGCGATAACTAGGGGAATTCAGGGGAGGTCGTAAAGGCGATCGCCCTTTCCTTCCATTTACCCATCTAGATGGGGTTGGCACAACAATTCAATATTGTTGCTAATGATATTGGCTAGCTTTTTACGAACGGCCGGCTGCTTGGCATCATAACTTCTTGGGAACAAAACATCCAGATCCGAAACAATTGTCTGTGGTTCACACAAGTATTTGTCTGTAGTAGGAGTCGAACATACAACCCGCGGTGCCGTAGCCAATAGTTTAGCAACTGCGCCATCGAGTCGTCAAATTCGATCGCTTGATATCAAATCGATTGGTTAGACTAAAAAGTACACAGAGCAGTACTAGCCCTATACTATGTGTGAAAATTAATTTCGTTTAATTTATGACAATGTATAAGCAATGTATCTATACAGAGTGTCGTTACCATCGCGACAATAAATGAACACACATATAGGGGATAACTTTTTAAAGTTGTATTAAACATTTAAATTCTTTAAACATTGTTGTTTGGGATCTGGATCCACGTATATTAAACGTCCTTGTTACACAGTAAGATAACTTACAGTAAGGGGGCAATGATTTTTGAAGGGAAGACTGCAATAGATAATTATTTCTAGGTCGCAGTGTTCGTTGGAAACTACTTCCCTACCCTTCCACACAAAATACCACACATATACCATGCACAACTTGGAATAGTAAACCTGCCTCACGCGCCAGAGGGGTGTGGGTTCGATCCCCACTACTGGAAGAATATTTTATGATGAACATAGATGTTTCCCAGTGTCTGGGTGGTATATGTATTTATTTATAAAAGAAAATTACGTTTAAGTATGTTTATCAGTTTTCTAGTACCCATAGTACAAGTTTTGCTTAGCTTAGGATTAGAGAACGTTGCGTAAAAATGAGTCCAAAAAAATAAAACACTTTCTATAGATGACGTGTCCTGGTATGAGAGGGCGTGGCAGTTCTCCGAAGAGAAGAGCAGCCGCGCCCAAAGGCACTGGGGCAACTTCCTTTTCGACCGCAAGAGATACGAGGAGTGCATCCCTCATTACGAGAAGTCGCTCGAGATCAACTCTATACAGGAGAGCGTTTGGGCGCGATTGGGGTGAGTCGTGTTTAACATAGAGTGTTAGTCAAAATTACTAAAACAAATTTATTGGAAACTATTAGAAACCTAGTGTTAGTGATAGCTCAGTGTCCGGGCGCTCGCCTTTAATTCAATATACTCGAGCAACCTGAGTTCGATCCCCGGTTCCGGCACCAACGAAATGTTAATTTTAAGTGCTGAATTATCACGTGCTCAGCGGTGAAGGAAAACGTCGTGAGGATTTTCGAAATAATAAAAATAAATAAAGTGCACTGTTTGTCAATTCGTATTGAGTCGTGTGGTGAACTACACCCTAATACGCTCTGTACAGAGAAGGCCTTTGCCCAGTAGTGGTATTTATATGGGCTGTTACTTTACTTTTTTACAAATATAATTTTTAACAGACTATACCACTCCATGGTGAGTAGTCAATAAGGTGGCTCATCCTCTTCTCCCAGTTACGCTGCCCTGTCAATTGAGAAATGGGAGCTATCGGCTACGGCCTACCGCCGCTACACCTATCTGCACCCGAACAGTTTCGAGGCCTGGAACAACCTGGCCAAGGTGTACGTGAAGCAGGGCGATAAAAGCAGAGCGTATAGAGCACTAATGGAGGCCCTGCGGTTCAATTACGACAACTGGAAGGTAAATAATTGACCTTTCAATAATGTCATGGTGTTGCCAACTTTTGGGTTACAAATGTTGCAATGAAGCTAAAATGCTTGTGTAATAGATTATTAAATCTTCATCTTTCTTTTATGGTGTCCTTGTCTGCACCAGCTTTTATTTCGAAATGATTGTGAAGGTCAATTGTCAACGATATTTACATATTTATGATGATGGTTAAAACTACAGAAGTCCTAAATCTAATGTTCATCTTAATACCAAAATATAGTATTCATATATTAGGGAACAGTAATAAAACGAGTATAGGACAGAAACTGTGAACTCAAGTCAATACGCGAATTTCTGGTCAAACGAATGAAAACAAACGATTGAGGTCTTGATAACGTCGCCATTGTGATATTGCAACGCGTGGGTCGATATTTCATTTATCACACGCAACATTTTAATACCGCCAAATAAATAGTTTTCCCTTTTTTTTGAGAAAAAATATGCCAAGCGAACTGGTGGTTCACCTGATGTTAAGTGATAACAGCCGCCCATGGATATTTGCAACATCCGTAGGGGTTACAAATGCGTTGCCACCCTTTGATTACATGGGCTAATATTACCTCTACCTCACTCACCAGACAAAACGCTGAAGTATTAAACTTCCACTTCTGTGAGGTCGTGGTACTTCCTTGGACGGACCTAACCATGCGTGCAACAGTGAATACTGTTGCGTGACCCTACTTACAGGTTATATTGCACAGTAATTTTACGAAGCGTCGACAGATAGAGAACTAAAAATATCAAAAGTCGCTGTATAGAATTAAGGCAGCGGTGTATATCCGCAGCTGTGGGAGAACATCGTGCTGGTGAGCATGGACACGGGGCATTTGGAGGACGTGATACGAGGAGTCCACCGCCTTCTGGATCTGCGGGGGAAGTTCGACGACGTGGAGGTTCTGGCTCTAATGGTGCGCGCCTTCGCAGAGGGCGCGCAGGTCGCTGATGCCGAAAGTGCCGCTAGGTGGGCTTTGCTTACTCTAGTGTTTGTTGGTTTATCGTTAACGTTTTGTCCATTAAAAGACCCCCGATAGCTCGATTCAATTCATTAAATTACAGTTTCAAGTGTAGATTTTTCACCTGTTCGCTTCGAAATAATAGTAATAAAGAATATGTTCCGAAGATATGTGAAGTCCTTCAACTCGTGGTGGAGTCGCGGGACCGACTGTGCGATCTGTACGATGATGGCTGTTAGTCTACAATGTAACGGGACTATCGAGATTGTGAAACCGTTTACGTCTTTATTTATTTCAGTTTAAAGATATGGTGATGAGCAAGCGGTTCGCCTGATGTCTAATGATAATTCTAACACCATCATCGGGCTATATTCAGTCGTGGATTCAAAAAAGCTGAATGACGTTGAATTAACTTTCTGCAGTAAAACTTATATGAATCATGAACTGAAAGTGAAATATAAAATAAAATAAACACTATAGTTTCTTATTTTTTTGACAGTTACCTAAATTGAAACACACATTTCTCTCGTTTTAAACAGTAATTTAACCTTGTAGATTACATATATATATATGAGAGTTAGTATTGTTCATATTCATGTTATATTAAGTAACAATGAACCTATATGCATGTTTATTTTTTTCAATATTTAATGTTTTAGGTTACGGAAACGTGGCCTTGAACTCTTCGGCAGAATAACTTCTATACACCAGAATAAACCGGAACTATGGCAGTTGTACTCAGACCTTAGCACTACTTATTTACTAAAAGCGCAACGACTTTTGAAAGCTTATAAAGGTTACACACAAGTAAGTTTAACCTTACAATAAGTTATGTTCTATTCCAAGAAAATATAGTAGATATTTTCTTTCGCACCTTCATATTCTTTGTGTTGTATATGCCTCCTGTCCTTCCCAGTCATATTACAAGACTGGTATTATTTTTAAGCTTCTGAAAAACGGTTTTGACATCTTTATAATCATTGCAGACTGGAAACTGGTCTAACAGCCCGGACACTTGTGTCAAAGTGATCGAGCTCGCGCAAAACCTACTAGAGTACAGTTTGAAAGCGAGACAAGACGTAGAAGATAACGAAAAACACCAGGCTGACCAACAGTTATCCTCTGCTCGTTTGACCGGACAGGCGGTCATTAGAGCGGTGGAAAAGCAGGACTGGCCGGAAACGAAAACACTTCTTGATAAATTAAAAAAAATATTTGAAATTGTCACAGATTATATGAAAACAATAATGTGAATAAATAATTTTGAACACGTCGTTGATTTTTTTCCCTGTTCTATTTATATTGATGGATATAAGATAATATTTCACAAATAATCAGTTTTTGAAGTGAAACTTGTTTAGAATTGTTGTAGATATCAAATTAAATACGATAACGCCATCTACTCCATATATCCATGCGACCCTGTTAGCGAAAAAAGGTATAATTCTATCAACAAGTTCAGAATTTGGCGTATATACATGCTTTGTATCAATTAACTTTGCGTTTTGCGTCTTTGCATCTTTTTAGATGCCCCCGTGAGCAGTACCAGTCGAGATATTAAGCCTTATTGGCTACAGTTCTAATGTGAATGTGAGTTTTTTATCTAGCGTAACGCTTAGATATTTCATCGTGCTTTCCCATAGAATGAGTTGGCAGGATAATTTGATTTTTTTTTAATTGGTTTTTCTTTCAGTGGTCGCAATGCATAATCGTGTTACTGCTCAGTGCCTTCTACTTTCTCTGGTTGGTCCGTATAAATTATTTTACACCAGCCAGTGTAAAATAATTTATACGGATTTGCAATAACATAAAAAATAAAATTTTATATATAAAAATTATACTACTATGAAATATGTTTATTTCCGTTTCAACATATTTTTTTATATATAAGAGAGTAAGAACGTTCGTTAATAAATCGAAATATTAAATTCGGATAAACATAACGTAACATTGACATATGTCTGACATATTTTTTATCTCTGATATTTTTCCTATCAATATCAATAGAAAAAAGGGTTGGTTTATGAGTAAACTATTTTGATAATTGTTGTAAAAAGTTTTGTAAAATGTTTAATTAATGCACCAAGAAATATGGCTACCGCTAACGAAGACGAAATTCTTGAAGGATTTCTTTGTCCTATTTGTAAAGCCGATTTGAAATCAGCTACACAATTAACTAATCATTTCGAAAGTTTACACCAAGAAGAGCAAGACGTTCTTAAATCTTTAAAAGAAATATTTGGGAAAGCAAAGAAAATTATTTTAAACAATGATGATACCGATTTGAGGGAAACCTTTGATCGGGCGCTTAAGTTTAATTCTCAAGAATACTATTACCCTAGTGAAGAACAGTTAATTGGTGTGTCCCGCAGTTCTATGGACTATTTTAAGGCTGTAAGGTCAGCAAGGCTTGAAAGATATGCAACTGAAACAAATAAATTGCTAATTCGATTAGACAAGCTTGTCTGTAACATGCCTAGTGAACCAAATCAGAGGAAAGCACATGAACAGGAAGTGAGTAATCCCAGTACTGTCTTTTTATTGTAAATGGTAACAACTGTTGCAGTTAACACTTTTCTAGGATTATATTTATTGTTATAATATAACAAGTTACAGGAAATAAGAAAAGTTAGATTATAATAGTATTACTTTTTTATTTATCAAATAATCTTAAAATATCTTAATGGTTGAATCCTGTAGTTAAATCATTCATTAATCATCATAAATCAATCAAACATTTTCCATTACATTTCTTATTGTATTTGTCTGATCTCACATCTTTAATATTCCAGGTTGTGCCATGGTTAGATGGTTCTTCAGTGAAACTTTGTCCTAATTGTGCTAAAGCTTTTAATCTGACTAGAAGAAAGCATCACTGTCGTCTTTGTGGGTCAATATTGTGCCATGATTGCTCGGTGTTTCTAGATTTAAATGTAGCAAGTATGTTATTCCAGTTTCTTTATTTCTTTTGCTATATTTTGGTTACATTATGTTCTTTATTTTTAAGCAAACATAATTTACAATACTTCCTTCCTCTATTGTGTTCTCATTTATGCTTATTAGAGTATGTCAAAAAACATTGTAAAAATTTCATAAAATATGCTGTAGTGAACATATTTATCCACTGGTACTACTTTTATAAAGCTTCAAAATTGTCAGGCTCAATACCATATTTGTAAGTTCAACAGAGTTGTCGATACTTTCCTTTTCCTTAACTTTCTTTAACCACTCACATGTCCGGCTCACGCAACTGTATATACCATCTTACGTCCAGCCATTCGCAACCCTGTGCGAACGTTTAGCGGAGCTCGCTATTTCTGAACAAAAACCTATGTAGCTACTTAAATATGACAGTTAGAGTAAGGAAAAAAATATTGATGATTAAATAAAAGTATATAGAACATAATGTTTATATTTTAAAAACTCATTATATTCTATTGTATTACTAAAAACGAGGTAAATCATGCTATTAGGTGGAAAAAACTTTACATTTTTTATAAATTTACTTTAAAAGCAGAAAATATAGGAGATTGTGGAAATAATAATAATATTACTACAAACTAGACTTATTTTCCTTTCCTACAATGTGTTGATATTTATTTCAATTCTGACCAGCTAAATAAATCGAAACAAAACATACTCCAGATAATTTTACCGCGATCTTCCAAGCGCCCTCAAACAATTATATAAGATGGTATAAGTGGTATAAAGCTAGTACAACTTTCCTGGAGTGCTTTCTATTTGTGTAAACTACTTCTTCAGATTTAAATTACGTAAAGTTGCTTAAAAATAAGATATGTTATATTAATTGAGTATAAGTAACACATAAAAAAATATATATTTCTTAGATATTTACTTTTATGTGAAATCAAATGCGAAGAAATGAATATGTTATTTTTCAAATCATTTTATAGTAAAAAATGAAACTTATATTGGTAGTTCATAGATTGTCTTTATATCTATAGTTTGTTGTTTGTTTATACTTAAAATTTCTTTTTAATTTTCTGCAAATATTTCATTTGTAATTTTCAGAATCCCTAGTAGATCCATCGATACCTCGAACTTCTGATCAGCCTGACCAAGAAGTTACTGAAAAGACTGGTTTGAGGCTCTGTGAACACTGCTTCAATCTGATAGAGCTGCGACGGCAAATTCAAGAGAGCCGAAATGCAAAAACTGTTCTGGTTACGGCATATGAACAAATGAGGAGTTTGATGGACCAAGCCAGGCCTGCTGTTGCTATGTACGAGAAGGTATAGGATTAAGCTGCAAAAAAATCTCTTTGAGAAGCTACTGTTTTAGTTCCAAGTATCTGTACTACCCGTTTGCATTAAGTTTGTTGCTGTTGATATGACACCACTCAAGGGGAAGTAACAGCAAAAAACTAGATTATATAATTTTTTAAAATCAAATAATTTTAAGGATCCTAAAATAATCGTAACATCAAATTTATAGAATGTGAAACCTGTAAAACCTTTGTTATTTGTAATTCTATACATGTAGCTTGTAATAAATGCTATCTTGTTTGATCTATCATCCTTACTCTGCGGTAAATATTACATTTTGGAAAGAGATAATCGGCTAATTTCTTAGTCATCTGCCTCACTTCCCACGGGACCACCTTTTAGTGCAGCCGACTGTCCCTTTCCAAAGGTTTTGTAGGTGGTGGTTTGTACTGCGCATACGAGCGAGTGTTTCTGGTCCTGTCGCAGATGTGCCAGAGCCTGTTCGACGGCGAGAGCACATACGGGCTGTCGGACGTGAACGCGGTGCGCGGCCGCATCGGCAAGCTGGCCGAGGGCGTTGACCTGCTGAGCAAGCAGATCGCCGCCCTCCCAGCGGAGCCGGCCACGAGGCAGGCCAAGCTGCACGCCGCCATCAGGCAGGCGGCGGCGCACTTCATCAAGGCACGCCTCCATCTCCACTTGTTTATTTGATGACTCCGCTTCCAGTTGCCGGGGTATCGGCTTCGGCGTTAGGGTCGTGGGTTCGATCCCCGCACGGGAGAAATATTTGTGTGACCCACATATAGTTGTTTCGCAACTGGATATTTGTCCGCGTCAAATTTATGTTCTTACAACACAGGGTAATGTTATCGTAAAGGGCAGTTTTTGAAAAAAAAATTATTTTGCCAGCCACTTTTGGTGCCAGCGACTTTGTCGGCGCAGGATTATACAATGAATGACTGAATATTTTTTTTCGATTCCCGCAGCGGCAAACAAAACACCCTTCGTGGCTTAGTTTGGATTTTGGTCTAGATGGGTGAAAATATGGAAAATGGACTCTAGTTATCCTACTCACTAGTGGATAATGCAATTCCCTTTCTTGGCACATCCATTATATGTGTATTTTTTCCCTTCATTATTTAAACTTCATATAGCATTTAGAAGTCATTCACCTTGTGTTTTGACCTTAGGAGGATCTGTTGTCGCTGCGCAAACTGCCAACCGAGGCGCAGATAGAGGAGGTGCGCAGGCAGCGGTACGAGCGCGCGCAGAAGCAGATCCAGATAGAGAGGGAGAGGATGGAGAGGGAGAGGGACAGGAGGGGGGAGGAGGGAGCGGCGGGCGGCAGCAGGGCGGAGAGCAGCGGAGAAGTGGACGACGACAACCCCATATTGGAGCAGATGAACATCATCCGCGACTACATAAAGGAGGCGCGGAGGGAGTTGAAATTCGAAGAGGTGTGATGTCATATTTTTATGACAGATTTCCTAATTGTAGTGTGACCATGAAACGGGTTTGGCTGTCGCACGAATGGGCAGGTCCTTTCGGGTAAGTACCATGAACTGACACACCGGTGTCTAGTAGAAGTTTGATACTTCTGCGTTTCGTCTGGTGAGTGAGGTAATCGGGGCCCACTTTATTGAAAGGTGGCAACGCATCTATCTGCAACCCTAAACCCTATGGGTGTTGCAAATGTCCATCGGCTGCGGTTATCACTTAACATCAGGTGAACCACCAGAGATTGAATTTTGACTACCGGAGATTGAATTTTGACGTAAGTAATATGGCCGTAAATGAAACTATTTTTTTGCGGATTTATCGCTTTTGTTCTTAATTTTAATACCGGACGTTTCGAACGCCTTACATCGTTCATGGTCACGGGACAGACTTTGGTCTGAATGTCATTGTGAGCCTGGGTTTTTTTTTATTTGAAATTATATCCGATCTATGCTAATTCAATATTGACTTGCAGAGGACTATTCAAAACGCTGGGAACCTAAATTTAAATTAAACGCGATAAATTCCATTAAAATTTCATTTAATAATCTATGTTGTTGTTTTAATTTCCAAATTGACATCGTATATTAATGACCAATTAATTGACTTTCCAGGTCGCCATTTTGGAGGCAAATCTAAAGGAACTGAAAAAGGAGTATCAATTGCAAATGCTCTCTAATAAGTGCTAGTCATTCCTCATACGGTGTAATTAATAATTTTAAGTGTTTATAGTACGTGACTAATGTAATTTATCTTCGAAAGATAATTCCGTTATTTTCTATTATATTTGCACCTTATCTCATATAAGTTGTAAGATTTATGGCTAAATAAAGTTGATAAATATAATTATCATTGGTTTAATTTCTAATGTTATATTCTTAATTTTATAACCCTGTTTTAAGGTTTGGTTTTAGGTAGGTGTCTCATAGTTAACTACATTGCTGTTTAGGAACTTCTTTAAAGCAAAATAAAATGTAGAAACTAGTGTTAAATCAAATATTATGATTAATATATGGTTAGCCGTGATAGCTCATTGTACAGGCGCTCGTTTTTAATTCAACTATCCTATAACTATATTGTACTGGAGCAACCTTAGTTGGAGTGGTGCCTGCACCAATGAAATTTTTTATTTTTAGGTTTTTGGCATTTATCATGTGCTCAATGTTGAAGGAAAACATCTTGAGGAAACCAGCACATTTTGTAATTGAAAAAAAAAAATTTTCCGAAGAAATGTGTAGTCCGCCAATCCGCAGTGGAGTGGCATGCATGGTGTACTATGCCGTAATACCTAATACTCTACACCCTTGCCCAGCAGTGGAACATATATATGCTGTTACTTTACTTTTTAACAATGAAATTGTTAACTTCAATTTTATGTGCCAAATTACTACATGCTTCGTGGTGAAAAAGAAATCATACAGAAACCTGCGCAGGTCAAAAAAAAATATTATTTTTATTTATTAATATTAAGCAGAATATTGTGCAAACATATCGTGATTTAACTTGCACACTTAGCTAAGAAATATAAAATAGATATTTCGCAGCTATCGAAATTCTGATAATTTTGTGTTGAGATGTTCTTTGTCAGGGAGCGGTACGTCATGTAGCAGTTGTTAATTTAATTGTATATGGTAATATTTGCTGTTCGTTACAAAAGAAACGAATCTAGATGATATGAATTTTTCATTTCAAACAGGAGCCGTGATAGTTCAGTGTCCGGGCGCTCGCCTTTAATTCAATATACTCGAGCAACCTGAGTTCGATCCCCGGTGACGGCACCAATGAAGTTTTTTACTTTAAGTGCTGACTTATTTACGTGCTCCGCGGTGCAGGAAAACATTGTGAGGAAACCTGCATATTTTCGAAATAATAACAAAAAAAATGTATATGTGAAGTCCACCAATCCGCAGTGGGGCCGCGTGGTGGACTATGACCCTGATACCCTCTGTATACCCAATATATATGGAGGGCTTTGCCCAGCAGTGGGACATGCATAGGCTGTTACTTTACTTTTTTTACTGGTCCTTAATAATATAAGCTTATGCGTTCATCATTCACCATTCATTGCCCTCCTAATTAGGTATGTGTAATAATCAAATTTCTATTCACAATATTTAAACTACTTTATTAATAGAGTAATTATAGGGCCCGGACGGAGCTATCACGACTCATCAATTAAGTTACGAATGCTTATAAATGTTATTATTTAATTCAATCATGTTATCGGTGGTTTCTTTTATCAAGACTTTTTTACTAAGAAGACGGCGTAAGAAATGTTACCTAAAGCAAAACAATTTTTCAATTACGCAAAGCGTTTTGCAAACGGGTTAACGATTATTGCGGTCTTAACAGTCCGTTAACATTTTAACTACTTCGTGTGTCTTTCCTTGTATTTCTCAATTTTCTCCAACTGCTTCAGCAGCTGAGGCCTCGTGCAAAGCGCCTTCTTGATCGCCTCGTCCAATATTTGGTGCTGATAAAACGGTGGTATGGGCGTGTCCTCTAGGTGGAACGTGTGTACCCGGCCGAGCGTGTCGCCGACGTACACGTTGTCGCCCGATTTGGAGAATGTCACGAACGTTAGCACCACATTCCCGGGGAAGGTGTACTCGGCGCACGGAATATGGTTCTTGCGACGCAGGTCCCAAATGGAGAGGACGTTGCCGCTGACGGATATGATCACGGTCGAGTTCACGGGGCAAAAGGCCGCATCGTATACCGCGGCGTGGCAGTTCAGCGTCATGATGACGTCGTCAATGCCCTCGAGCCACAGCCTAATCGCGTTGTCGGCGCCGCAGGATAGGAGTAACGTGTCCATGAACGGCGAAAATTCCATACTGTAAACTGGCCCCGAATGCGCTCGGATAACGTCGATATGTTGGTTTAGATAGTGAGTCGAACATTTGTGTATGCACCCCTCGTCGGTACCAACCAAGTACAAGTGGTCTACCCTGGGGAGCCACTTCATGCACAGCGCGGCGGGTTGCCTCACAATGGGAACGTCAGCTTTGAGACAGGGCTTGGCCGTTTCCAACCCTTTCATTTTCCCCTCGACCGTCGATAAACGCATCATGGGCGAGCAAATAAAGTCGTGCGTTTTCGTACTCCTAAATCGATTGATCCTCCCGTCTTGGCATGTCGTTATTACATAGTGGATCGAATCAATTACCCGCCAGTTTATACGCCAAATCGGCTCGAAACAGGGATTCGTGTCACGCTTACTCTGCGCCATGGTTCTTACAGAGTACGAAGTGACATCTAATATCAGCACGTCTCCATTATTAAAACCGCAGGCCAGCCAATTGGGATTCTTGTCCGAGAACGCTACGGCGGTCAACGGCTCGTCGAAATGGTACAACCTTTCCGGTACGCATGGATTTTTCGTGCACCAAATGGTCACTAAGCCGTCGAACGTGTCAGCGTAGGTGAACTTTCCGTGTGCCACAGCCAGTATATCATCATTCTTTGGGTTGAACGATATACCGGTGATTGGTCGGCCAGCAGTCTCGTTGCATTCGAGAGTCCAAAGCGGTTTCAAAGAGTAAACATACACGAGATCTATTGAGAACGGATTGAAACGTACGAGACCGCGAAACTTCTTCTGGGCGTCGGCCAATTGCATTGTCGCGAGAACGCGCTCTGTCAAGAGAACGGCGTCTAGAAACTCCGGCGTGCGGGAGATTTCCTCAAAGCTCTTACCCCTGGCGACAGAGACGCGCGCAGCTGGTTTCTTCTTCCGCAGCAACCTGGGCTCCACCGACTGGTACATGACCATTTCGTCCGGCTCCTCCTCCCGAACTGTCTCCGAGAGTCTGGCATAAGTATCGTGCATGTCCCACAGCGACGCGAACGCAGGGGCGTTCTTCTTCTGCGGCCTCGTCGCCAGCGTGTGCCGCGACTGAGCGACGCACTCTTTCGTCTGCGTCTCGACCGTGACCGTCTTCCGATTGCGCCCCTTCCCCACCGTTATGTACTGGTAGAAGTTGTTCTGCTCTTCGACGGCGTTCCCTTCCGGGGTGCCCTTTTCGTACGAGCACCGCGGCAACTCGAACAGGAACCGCGTCTCCGTCTCTTTGAGCACGACGAACAGCTGCTCCGGGTACGACATGATTGGCGTCGTCTTCGTCATGTAGAAAGCGGACGGCGCTATGTCCAAGTCGAAATCGTCTGACGTGAATCCCTCGCCGGTGTTCTTTGTGTGATCGATATGTATGTCGTCTAGGGAGATTGTCGTTGTGTACACCTTCATAGCCATATCGACTGTCGTCTTCGACTTGGCCGCTTTTAGGGCGATGTCGCTTCTCGCTCCGGCCTTCGTCCCGAACGCCGCGTGAGTGTATGCCTCGTCCATTGTCACATAATCCGGATCGACGATGTTGTCGGGCGTCGCGTCCACATCGTCAAGGACCACCCGATACATCTGCCGTTTTTCCATCAAAGCGAAAGTAGCTTTGCTCGATTTAGTCCCATTCGAAACATTCGACTCACTCGGATCGATTTTATGTTCCAACTCCGACATTTTAGTACCTAGTAGTACTGTGATAATAGTATTTGTGGAATCGAAATTAACAATAGTCAGTTGACAATATTCGTATCTTTGACGTGAACGTGTCATATTTTATGTACACATAATTTTTTAACGTAATTGCTAATAAAATAAATGAGTATTTACTATCCTTGTAGGTAACAAATAGGAGGTGAACCACCTCCTATCTACAGAAATTACGTTTTTATATGGGTAGGAGAGGTGATTCATCTGATATTGATGCCCAACCATTAGATTGTAGATGCGTTACCAATCTTTAAAAAAGAGGGCCCCAGTTACCTCACTCACCAAAGAGAACGCAGAATTATAACCCTGCCCCTTCACGCTGGTTTTGTGTGAGGCCGGGGTACTTTTCCCGATGACACTGACCGTTCGTGTAGAAGCAAAAGCTGCGCGGCTCTACCACAGTTGTATGGCAAAAATTACTTAGTCCATTCAAAATTCGATCGTAATCGTCGGTATTTAATTAATATTGGTATGAAATGGGTAATGAATAACGAAACAATAAAAAATAACTAGGCGCTCGCTATTAATTCTATATATTCGAGCAACCTGAATTCGATCTCCGGTAACAATGAAATTGTTAATTTTAAGTGCTAATTTATCATGCGCACATCGATGAAGGAAAACGTAGTGAGTAAACCTATATAGGTAGATCTATTACTAAACCTATAATATTACAATTTTCCTTTAAAAAAATTTCAATTCTTCATCTTAATATTCACCCTTAACTTCCTCTTTGCCCTATTTATGACATGTTCAGCCTGTTTTAGTCGTCTGACATGTGTGTAGATATGAAATGGTTCGATTAAAGTACTGTTGTGAAACAGACCGCCGCCGGATGCCCTCACGGAGCGTGACGCCCGCTGTGCGATATGCTACACTTGGCCTGTATCTAGCCCTCGTGTAATCGAGAGCTGTCATTACTTTTTCTACCATTCTAGGCAATGGCATTAACATCGCAGCGACTTTAACAGAGCAACATGTTGTAACCGTTTGAATTGGATAAACTCTAACAACCGTTACACATATTAAAATTTATCTCCCTTTTTGTAAAGATTGTCAACGCATATGTTAGCTCTCAAGTGCTGTAGATGTCAAGTGAACATGTAAATATGATGTAAGTTACAAAGCTTTCCTGTGCAGTATATTTCAAAATAATGTCAACGCACATCTAGTTTGTTTTTATCTGCGCTTTTTGGTCAGGTAGTGAACCAACTGTTGCCGAAACTAATGCAGATCAGTTTCCTAAAAGAGACAAGTTTTCTTCGTATTAGCGTGGACAGAGTTGATACCATATTCACCGTATTCCTAGTTCATAACATAATTCTTTGTCATACTGTAGATCAATAAAAAATTAAACCCTTCGATTTGATGAAATTAGTCTGCTAAACATGAGTAGCATTTTAGGAGAATATGCACGTAGATAAGCTAATTCGCGATGTTTACACATATGAATATTTGGTTTTATCGATAGCTTTTTAGCATCTATCACTTTATACTGATATTTGATTGATTGTTTTTTGTTATGTTCGTGCTTTCGTGTTTTTCAATTAAGCTACCGGAACGGTCACTTTTGCGTGTCTAGTCAGCGAAGCTCTATAAAGAAAAAGGTTTTTTTCTAAACATTGTATGCAAACGGAGCGACGCAACGAAGCCGAACGTAGCGAAACAAGTACGACAACCCGACCGCCGTCGTTTCCGCCGCAATTTAGTGTTTAAATCCACATTAGAGACGCTTACGGCAAAAAGACGAGGAACGGAGTCCTGTTGCGTACATCTTGTGTCTTGCAACTTACCTTCGATTACCGAAGAAGCTTTTTAATCTTTACCGCGACATTCGACTAATAAGTTTTATTAAATGTAATTTCATCAAGATGTATAAAATGACATCGAATACACGAAAATAAGAAACTTTACGGCCATGCGATTAAAAAGAGACCAGGATGTTTTTGAAGCGGAGATGCCAAAAAAAAATCACGCTAACCGACACAATAATTGTGACTCGAAGAGACTATAGCTGAGTCAGGCGGAAGATCATCACAACAAACGCCCACATATCGCCTCCCTTTTGATGCGCACCGAATTTGGGAAGGTCCCTAACTCGATTAACCGGCGGATGAGTCAGCCGCCGAGCTTAATTTGCAGGTCGGCTGAGCAGTTGAGCGCTGCGCCCTTGCTGGCTGGGCACGGGCGACGCCAGCCGAGCAGCCGACCGTGACGGCGCCAAGAAGCGCCGTGCATTTGAGGCGCGGGCGCGTGCCAGGATACACCTGTCCGCAGACCAGGTCAGCGACCCCGCGATGAAGAGGCTCCTCGGCAGGCTCAAGCGGCGTGAGTCCCTTTTCGTTAATCTACCCTTCCGTATCTAGTTCTAGACGTTTCGATCGAAGCCGACGCTGTATTTGTTCATTACAACCGTTTAACGGTTTTAATAGAATATCGTATATGTATAGCTTAAAGTTCAAGTAAACAATACTATGACTAAAGCGTTTTATTATGGATTTTAGTACCTGATATTATACTTCTAATACATTATAGATAGGTTCAATGTTCAGTTTTATTTCAATTTGCCCTAAAGTTTATATACCTCAGATCTCTGTTAAAACATAGGAATATTATTCTAACGTGAATGCTTATTAAATTATTTATAAAATTTCTCCCTACCTTATTAAAGTACCCAATAGAATGGCTCGGTTAATTTTAACTGATTACATTTGATCAAATGAATTAATTACGTAATAAGTAAAAGTAATAAAAACACCGATTGTATGATTTATTAATTAAAGGTAATTTTAATGACAGCGCAACAGCGTTCCAATATCTTCGATTAAAACTTGGCGCCATAGTGGACGATCAGCTGCGTTCGAAATTCAATGAAATTGCTCCATATTATTTTTATTCCGAAATTACTTTTTTTTAATATTGTGATTCTTATCGTGCATTGCTCGCCAACTTAGGAGGCAAATGATTTACTCGTTATTTTATTGGACGTTTTTTATCTTCTATCTTAGGTACTTATACCAAAACAATAAAAATGATAATTAGGTAATTAAATGGTATCTTAGTAGTTATTTCCAACTAGTCGTGAACTGGTTTCGCGTCACCACCATTTATAGGGGAATGGGAGTATAAACCAGTCGATTATCTTAATCAAGACAATCATGGTCCAAAAGTCAGGGCGAGTACGTCTAAACCATAGTTTTAACGTACATGGCATAACTTTGTCTTTTAACCTTACCGATCTAAATAACAAAAGCAGTCTATTCACCTTACACCGGATCTATTTAGCGATAATTGACAAGCGCCATATAAATTACCAATTGTTTTGTTTCATACTTTAGTACGAATGAGCTTACGTAAGTAATCATTGGATCCAAATCCATATTAATTTCTTTCATTGAGAAGTAATAATGTATCTACTCTCTTCTATCATCGTAGTATTTGTAATGTAAAGGTTACCTTATAATTCTTAAATTTGAGACAGAGACAGCAATTATCCATCACGTTACACTCAGTTTATTGTCATTTACGACACAGTGTCACAGGTGGTGAGCTTATCGCCTTGTACTGCGCCCACGTAAGCGATGATCTAGAAAATATGCTAGATTCCCTTGATACACAAACGAGCCAAGTCAGATCGTAAATTTATCATCCCAGCCCGTATACCCTTTTAATATGAAGTGTTTTATATATCGGATTTTTGTTCTACAATCGAGACAATTAATAAAGATAGCCATCTATATTAAAAAAGAGAGATTTTATTTTTAATAATGAAATGAAATCAATTAGCAAGTAGTGCAAGTAAGCAAATTTGGTATTAGTGCTGTCAATGTAGTTGGTACCAACTGCAGCTTTTAGTGCGGCCAAAACGAACTGGTAAAATCACGTCTTACAGAAGACCGTTGTAAATTAGTAAAGAAGAAAGAAGAGGTATTTATGCTTTTTTGATTCGCATAGTGCATATGGTAACTAAAGGTCTCATCCACTCTTTACGTTTAGCAATGCAACTGTCTCAAAAATTTGTAGACATTCATGGGTGGCGTTAAAAATACATTGGATGAACTTTCCTCTCTTGTCAATATTTTAATAGGCCTTAAAATGGTTTTTTTCTTAAAATGGTAATATGAATTTGAATGGTCTTAACATTCCTTTCTGTACCGACGTAAAATACACACCGCTGACACGTCCTTCCCACAAGTGTATCAAGTGTGCTTCCCGCAATATGGCAATACAGGTCATAGGGCAATTTGTCAAAGCCCCTACACGTTGAGGTAATTCCAACAGACCGACGCGCAAGAAATCTAGTAAACATCTTGCCATTATGCTCTTAAAGGTCCGGAATACGTAGGACGTACATGACTGCAAAATTGGTTACGGAGCTATCACGAAACGTTCCGGTAGAATACTTCGTATACAACTCCGCATCTGTCCACTGCAAGCGCGGTCATCAAACTCCACCATGAAAAATAAATAAGCATAATACCCCCCCCCCCCCTCCGCCCCCCCTACTCCAGGTGATATTTTGTCATCCCTCTTATTCGAGCCTTACGCGATTAAGCTGAATTAAACAATAGAATGAATCGGTGGCTTATTAAGTACGCTAGCTTAGAACAGAGTTAATTCGTTGTGCACCGCCCATGTTTCTACGGCGTGCACACGCACATGCGTCTGTCGACCGAATCCGAGTATCGGTAATTGCCATCTCCTTTTTCAGTGCGTTAAATATAATGAGCCTCATGACGCGTTCCCGTGATGTATGGATACCGAGAAAATCGCCTCGTTCGCGGTCGTCATAATTGATGGCGACGGGAAATGATTGTCCGTGATCGGCGTTTATCGACTTTTCATAAACTATTAACAGGCATCTACAGTTTATAACATTTGCGACATTGTTATTTTCAAACGTGTTTCATGGAATATGGATTTACATTTGCAACATTATATCATTACCTGTAAGGTAGTAGTAATGGGCTGTCCTTTTGAGGTTACAAAGTCTTATGGGTCCGGAAATGCAGTTACGGAAGTAGTGGTAACGACTGATTCCATAGAATAGAGTTATCGTTTCTAAGAATTATTACGTGTATAAAAATATTTTCTCAGGTTTATTGCTAGGCTCATCTCGTAGCTGATTACGTAGATATCCAGATACATAGATATTCAAACTTGATAGAACGATGCATTGTAGTTTATTGTATTGTAACTTGACTATAAGAGTTTTTTTATAAGCAAAAGTTGACAAAACGTGCGTGTGTTGTTAATTATGAAAACGCCAGAAATTCCGAACGTGCGAAAGATATTCGGAATTCCGTTGGCGGGCTGTCAGCGTGACAGGACGAGCGAGTGTCCCGAGAGCCGCGCGGGCTTCGGTCGAGGGGTCGAGAGGTCGCGCGCGCAGACGCGCCCCGCCCCCCTAATTGCCGCGCCCCACGCAAATAAATAATTTTTATCCACCGCACCGAGATCACGCTCCCTCTTGACCCCGAATCGACGCGCTCGGAGCGGTTTTTTGTGAAACCATAAGCGGCTGGACCGACTCGCCGCGCGCGGTGTGAATTCTGCGCGGTTGATCGAAAACCAGACGCGGGGCGATGATTCCGCCTTTAAGATAGGATCGCTACGTCGAATTGTTAATGATACGTTCCGAACTGAGCACAGAGACGTAATAATTATAATATCCATGTTTAAACTCTCTCGGATTTTCTCGAACTAACACGTTATGGAAAATAAGGCAACGATACTATCTTGACCGAATGCTCGTTTGGGGCTGAAGTGATTTATATATTTCTGAGATAAGATTTCTTTTATTATTTATTGTATTTGATACTATAAACAACAACCAGTTTTCGAATTGTCTCTACATAAAGCCATTATTAGTAGAAAATCAATTGTCAAAAAACTGTTCATAAGTAAAACAAAACAACCGATCACACTGGTCGACTCCTCCGCCCACATGACTATAATAACTGGAATAAAATGCATCAGTGTATCCTGTTCGTATCTAATAAAATTATTCTCTTGTATATTTTGTAACCGCTGCAGCCAACAGATAGCATAAACAATAAACTAGCAATAAACTAGTATGGACCATCGTCCGAGCGTCTATCCAACAACATTCTTTTCAAATTGCACGGTGCATAAGAAGAGGTAACAACCCATCAAGCCGCGGAATATTTCGCAATCCACGCTGTGCACACGTATCATTGTTGAAACGGAACGTAAGTAAATGGAAACGGCTTTAGACTTTATCAGATTTCCACGTTTTCAAATGAAGTTTATTTATATCAGTTATCATTTAAATTTACCTGACCATTGAATTGCCCATTAGTTTGACAATGCATGTTCTTATTTGAGTTTGTTGTAATGTGCTCATCTCAGTATACAAGTATGCATTATATATAGTATTCGATAAAATCAACCTATCAAATGTGATTTAAACCTTTTAATGCAAATAATTTCATGAACATCTAGTTGTTAATTATGAATGTTAATTTCAAGCATTGTGAGGATTATCTACAAACTATTTATCATCATCAAATAAAATAAACTAATTCAAAGATTTAAACCAGCAATGAAATTTAATCAATCACAATGATTCAATTCCTTTATGCTGCGTTTTACTTACACGTCTTTAAAGACGTGTTTATAAAAAAATTAACAGTTACGCTGTTCCTAAAGAGAAAAATGCACCCCGTCAAAAACGAAGTAGAAAGCGGCGGGAAATTTGAAACCGCATTCCCACTGTGTCATTTGATTTCTATGAGCATATTAGGCATTGCTTCTATGAGATGTCACCGCGACGGGTGGCCGTATCGAATTGCCGGCCGGTGCCTGTGATTACCGATTCGTCATGGAGGCGGCCATGTTTTGCGTTTGTTATGAAAGCGTTCCACTGACCTCAGCGAAATTTCGCTTTCAGTTGAGATCTAATGTTGCAGCGAATGTACTTACCTAAAAAAAAACTGGGACTAATCGCTCAAGCGTCTGCGCGAACTCGTTTTTTTTATGCCCGCCAGTTTAGATTGAGTTTGTTTTGTTTTTCCATCTGCGCGCACGGAAGCCACTTTCATTTTTAAGAATTTGTCTTAACGGTATTACTTTAAAGTGTCCTAACCGATTTTGTCTCTGTGAACTACTTTATAACGGTGCGAGATTTATGTATATAGGTATGATGATGGGAACCTGTTGGTATGGTTGTTATTTTTGTGTTGAAAAAATTAAACTAGATGTGAAAAATGCTCAGTGAATTATTATCTAAGTTCACACTACGCCATCGAATCGTTGATTCTCGTCATGAACTGTCAAGAATTGGCGCGAAATTATTTTAAAGCGTATTTTCGTCTGCCCATTTCACGCAGTCGTAATGTCGTGTTTAGTGTTTCGGTTTTACCGGCACACAATTTCGCCCTTTGCCGATTATTGTTGCGTGTGTTGTATTGTAATCGTAATCAGTGTAGGACGGTCTGCAAATGCAAGATTCATTTGCGTAACGAAAAGAAAAATAGCGTAAACGTCAAAATGAATAGTGCAGAGGGACAGATAATGAAATCCCTGTCTTCAGACCGACGTGGTAAATTTAAAGAATTTAGAGATTTTAACAACAGAAAAATTAGCTTTAGCCTCTAGGTTTGCTTTTTACATTTGCTAAAAATTTACATGTGACGGTAAATTAAAATAAGTAGTTGAGTTTCTTACATAATCAATTAAATAGTGATTTGCGGTTATCGGTTCTAAGAGCTATATGGCCAGCCCATCGCCTGCTTACTAACCTTTTGAGCTATGTCGGTTACCTTTGTTCTACTGCCGATGTCTTCGTTGCGAACTCTATCACGCGGAGAAATACCGAGCAAAGCATTTTTGTAAATATTCAAATACAATTTCTATTTTATCTGTGGTTAATATTGTATCTAAAGAAATATGAATTAATTAAGTCTTTTTAAATTTATTTGCTGTCGACGGTGGCAACAAACTGGTTTCGTTCTCACGGTGCTATTATCGGTTGCCTACACTTACCCTTAATTCCATCGTGCCCTTCTGTCTGCCTACCAGTCCAGACTCCGGACCCAATTGTTCTCTATATCGTAATGATCACGAGTTAATGCTAATTTCCTTGTTTATCATGTCAGTTTTATATACATAGGTCTTCAATTATTTATTGATCATACATATTTAAGTAATGTAGGCTTTACAGTTACCATTGAATAGTGATTATAAATATTTTCAAATTTATTTAACGACAGGTATGCGCATCGCACATTCAAGGCGACAATGAAACTTTTTTTATGAAATAAGCTTGCAAACGAAAAAGCCGTTAGTTAGGTTGGCACTCTCTTATTACTGCCCCCCGCAGTAATCGGTACAGCAAATACTTTTCAATCTACACAGATAAATAAAATTGGAATGTCTGTTTTTGTAATATTATAATAACCAGTTTTTACTGGATGTCTACACGGTACATAGTACCAAATAAATATTTTTTACAATTTTTGTCCGTCTGTCCCAGCTAAGCAGACAATACGGCTTGGCTTTAACACAATGAGATATGAAATATTCGATAGACCAAACATAGTGCGAAATAACTGCATTCATGTATTTTAAAAACGACATTTTTCTGCCTTATTACTTTTGTTCTGATGTATGATAAACAATGAGGCATAACACGTCGTCTTTAATGGATACTACTACTCGTCCTTTAATGGATGGTTAGGTTAGATCTTAGTGTCGTTGTCTCAAACGCTTGCGATTCGGAATATTATTAATATAATATATGCTAAGAAACTGCTTTTGCCTTAGCAAAAGCGTACGTACCACATACATAAAAAGGATATATAACAATGCAAAATGCTTTTAGATCTTACATAACTTCGGTGTTACGATAGAGCTCGATGCGATAGTCTAGTGTTTCTTAGCCACATAGATAGTTTCTAGCATTGTTCTATTTATTTTGCATTTCACTATATTATCACCAACACTACGTTGATCGAAGCAAAATACATGAAAATTGACGGTGGCATTGTTTAAAAGTGAAATCAAATGGACAGTCATTTGCGTTGACTTGATGTTATAGATTTCAAGGCCCCGATATTTTTATAATTGAAACATTTTAATAAAACACTGTGTTTAAATGTCATATCCATAGATTATAAAGTTTCTGTAAAGTAACTTTCATTTTGATTGTTAACTATAGCTTCGTCGTGAGTATATTGTCACTACAAAGTAATGATGATAGTAGACTTTAGACTAGCGCTAAAATCACTATCACCGGTAGGAGGATAGACAAGCGACAACTCTCGTTAAAAAACTCATTGTAAAAATGTTTATTAAAAAAGTCTGAATGCCGAAAACTAGATGGCACCAAACATTGCTAAAGATGCACTATAGAAAGTAGGTAGGTATCGAGATGTTCGTGACTTGAGGATATCGGTGGATTAGGTCAGTGTCTAGAGTACCTAGACGTGTTTAGACCTGGAACACGTAGGTTTGAATGCCGTAGCGCCGAAAAATTCTAAACTATTTATGTACAAAATTTCATATTTTAAGATTCATCTTGAGTGCAATGACTAGTAATATAAAGAAAAAAATTATCATAATGAAGCATAGCATATTTGAAGTATATTCTTTATCATCATCATTTCAGCCTGTTTGAGTCCACTACTGACCATAGGCCTCCCTCATAGTGCCGCGAAATACGATCCCGAGGCACCAGCATCCATCGACTTCCCGCACATTTGCACCGTTAGTCACTCGATCTAATCGTCCTACACTACGGTGGCCAGTACGAGGCTGTCACTCAAGAACCTTTCTTCCTCATAGGTTATTGGTCCTACGAGCTATATAGCACTTCAACTGACTAAGCTATGTTATCCTACTGCGGATGTTGCGAACTCGCAGCATACTCCTAATATTTTGTTACACGTACGAGTAACAACTAATAAGTTACATGCCTAATATTACTGTAAAATAAGGTGTAATCATTTATGGAATAATTTCTCGCGTTAGAATTATTTACAGTTTATGGTATTCTCCCTAGGAGCAGTTTGCATAAGTTAGGTGACAAGACTCTAACGACTTTATTCTGTGCATAAAATTTCATGCCAAACACTGATCACTGATTACAGCAAAGCAAGTTATCACCACCCGCCAGTACATACACTTACGTAATCAATATATTTTCGCAGAATCTAATTCAATCATTATGTACTGTTTGGTTTCTGTTCACAATATTTTATTCAAAATATTTATTTGCAAACCAAAAAGACGGCTAGGCAAGATTTATTGTAGGTTATAAAATTAACTCGCACACAATATATAGTAAGAAATCCAATCATATTTAATTATAGTGAAAAGTATATTTTTTATAAACCCTTTATCTTACATTAACGTCATACTAGTGATTATTCGGATAATAAATCAAACAAGGTCACGTTTGCCTAATTATTGAGTTCAACCATCATAACTATTGAAGGCGTTCCCTCAAATAGTCGATTGGCTCGATTCTTAACGTTATGATTATTATCTTCGTTACTAGCGTGGGACGAAAATATTTAATATTAGACACCTACTCGCTTTCTTATATTGTTTTAAGTAATTGTTACAGCGGTGGTAGTGTTTTGACTATCAATAAGTGAGTGTAATGCTCCTATGTTGAATAAATACATTTGATTTTGATTTTGATTTTTACTTTAACCATTTGTTTAACATCGTTATAATAGAGGCTTAATTTCTAAAATATTTTTTTAATTTTTAATTAATTAAAAAAAATCTATAATGTTGTTATTGGTTGTTGATATGTACTCATAATTATTTTTCCAAACTCTTTTTCGAACGCGTCGTTTAGTTGCTTTTAAAAGAAATGAGGTTGGTACATTTTATGTAAAGTACCTTTTGAGTACAAGTGTTACTAAATTCAGGCCACTTCTAGGTCCGAGTACATAATAGAAAGATAGACGACTTTGTAACGAAGACCCTTTCACTTGAAAATATCCATAGACTAGGGGGCTTTAATTCTATACAACGTTATAGACCAAAAGTAAATAAAAACCTACTTTTCTACATGTTTTAATGTTCAATCTTTTCATACTTTTTCTACGTGTTTTAATAAATAAAAACCGTTAATTAAAAAGACCCATGATTTGAAGTCACTGGATATAAACAAATACTTTTGAATGAAAAAATAAAATCACTGCTGTCACGGTGGGAACTGCGTACGCACGTTTTCGGCGGTCGTGAGCGACGCTTCCCTCGCATACCGCCATCCCTTGACACATTCCCGCCATAGCGATATGCTCGTGCCCGTTTAATATATTGTCCTTTATTTTCACGCGTCAAAAGGTATGTATGG